ACATTACTTGTTGCACTTTACTCTGCCCATCCACTGCGCTTGCGTATCCTGTAAAAATCAGTTGAGCTCATTCTTTTGTCGTAGCGACCTCGAATCACCTATTCTCTCATGCTGTATTATAGTAACACAGCATTTTCTCCCTCCGTTTTTCAGCACAGTACCTACCTTATGCATGTGATGCGTTCAATTGGGGGAAACTCGAGTAACACAAACCTTCAACATCGTCCATGTCCCTCTGTCGTCCCGCACCATTCATGTCCCAATCCCGCGCCATGGGTGCCGTTGGTTGTGTGCTTACTGTACTACGACTGTCCTGCTGTCCTGTCGTACGTTGTTCGTCCCGTGTCTCTGGAACCGGTACTCGGTAGCGAAGCGAGCAGAAAACCCAGACGAGCGAACCACGGCACTGGACATGACCACATCAAATTCGGTTCGGCTGTTGACCGTGTACCCCTACGTAAGTGGAGATGCGGGGAAAGCAAAGCACAGTTACACAGAATATAAATGGTAGAAGACCCTGACTGCTCCAGACTTCAGACTCTGATATTCAAATGCCGATGGAGACCGCCGCCGATGGGGAGGGAATGGAGACGATCCCCCGGATTACAGTCCGAAGACTCGGATTTCCCAGGACGAGCTCCCAGGATATGGTACCGAACGCGCCCTTTCCCAATGGACATGGATGGGCTTTGGGGAGATAGATGGTCGGGACATGGGAGTCGGTTGCGATAGGTAGTGACATCCTGATCCGGTAGTTATAGTCTAATTACGAGATTGAGATGTCGGGCTTGTGAGGAAACTACCTAGGATTCCAATAGTGAGCATATTGACTGATGTTATTGATTCCTTACAGCGTTCAGGTAGGGATGAATGGTGGAACTCCACATAGTGGTCGAGTATAATATGATTATGTAGGTTAACTATACCTTCTCCCAATTGCCATTCAAGGGGATGGATTACTCCACCCGCTCAGTCCTATAATCAGTAAAATAGTAATGCTGCAAACCAAAATTTGATGAAGAATGTCCAGTACCTATCTAAGATCCTTGAACAGCGGGTGACAGAACACACCCTAAACCACCAAGCTTTATATCCAATACACAACGCGTGATGGTGCTGGTAGATATTGGCATAAACCCGACGGCAGAGACCCGCAGGCATAACTCAAAAGGCAAGCGCTCAAACCCGTTAGACGTATGCTGCCCGCCTGAATGGCCTTAACATTACCATTTGTATTGCCCGTGGGTATCATGATTCAGTATGCCGTTTTTCTTGGCTGGGCCCTCGCCGTAGGTTCAATAGATCATTGGAGCGGTAGACTGGCACCTGTAGGTAGGGAAACATGGGAAAGAGGGACGGTCCCTGAGCGTCGTCTTGTGATATCTAACCACGCAGTGGAGCAATCTCATGTCCGGACACAACAGACTCCCTACACTACATACACCCCTCGGCTGACAGAACAAAAGTGACAAGGATTCTGGCTAATTTGTCACTGATGACGACCATTGGATTTTGGCAGCCCTAAGCCCAAAAAGTGGACGGCAAGATGGTAAAGGACCGATCGACAGCGAGGTATTACCGAACCAGACAAGGGCCAAGTTCGGGTCTTGTACTACTGCTAGACTTGCTACTATGGAAATAGCCGGTGATGATTTGGCTGTGGTGCCGAGGTTAGACTTGTCTCGAAGACTGTGTGGTGTGTGATGACTTGCTGCTGTATGTTGTAGCTGGCTTGTTATTGAGGAGTTTGTTGAAGAGATTTCTTCCTGAAAGCTCAAGGAAAGCAAGACAAGAACCTTGGTTGGTTGGCGCCAAACCGCTAGCTTGGCTACCTACTACCATCGCCATCTTGCCAGTGCTGCTTTTCTTGCCCCATCCAGCTTTCTTTCATCTTTGTCCGGATGGAAGCGTCCAGATTCTGTCAGGTGCCTCGGCTGTTGTGGAGGCAGGTGCCGAGATGTTACCCAAGACCGGCAATGTTCGGCAGAGGTTAGACAGATATCTTTGGCACGACATGACAAGCTGCAGGATGTAGGTACACTGCTTTGCGCGCGCTTGTAATGCGGAGACTGGGGGATTGAAAGCTCCAGCGATGAGAAAACGGAGGGGGGGGAAACGGAGGTCTCTCAGTGGCAGAAGTACTTCTACACTACATACATACCATACATGCCGGGCAACGGCCTTCTCGGCCTAGGCTGCACCCGTGACCACCAACATATACCAAGGAGCTAAAGTTTGCCCCTGCGTCAAGCCGTCGATGGCTTCAGCCATGGTGTGATCCCTGAAAAAGGAATCGGGCCCTTTCCCCGCATCAGAAGGTCTGAAGACCTCGTCGGCGTCACGGGCCTGTGTGGCGCTGAGGGGAAATTACCAAGGGGCAATGGGGGAGGTAAGTCCTGGTTCAAGAACCCGTGATAGCTTCACATGGCACATGGCAGATGAGCTCGACTTCAAGGATATGATATCTTGATGAGCGATCATCATGCGGAGGAGGGCACCGAGTTCACACACCACTACAAACCTCCACCTTGGTGAGCCACTCGCAATCCTTCCGCCCTTCGTCTCCTCGTGCATTTGTTTCCCCAGGTTTTGTGTATCTGCCGGGTCTGAACTTTGCCATTCGCTTAGTTTACCCCGCATACCCCAGAAGTTTGTCGAGTCTGGTTCCAGTGAACACGGTGAACAGTGGGAAAATGTGCAGTGAAAGAGCTGATGAGTGGAAGTTTGGATTCTCAAAAATAAAAACCGGGGGGGTTCCACTGTGTACCCCACCGGATTCCCCTCTAAGAACGCGCGCGACGGGCCGTGAATCCAGATTGGCGCATGGAGCCACTTCGGTCAAGCCATCTGTTCTTCCAGCCAATCAGACTGAAGAGTTCTGACTGTCTCGGAAGGGTTCGTTTGTCTTGCTTTTCTTTTTCTTCCTTCTACACTACACACGCTATCTCGAAATCTAACTGACCGATCTCCCGCCGCCGCCACACTTGATCATATTGCTCAGCCCAGTTATATGCGAAAGAGAAAACGATTCGATTCCTATCTGAGCCTCTTTCAGACTACTTTTAGCCCTCAGTCAGGACTCTGTCATTGCACAGCTGTGAATGCACACGTGCAGTTGCAATTATAGAAAGACGGTGTCGATAATACCGCCACTGACGCAGTGATTGTCATACACTAGCAGCCCGTCAGGAAACTAGTAGGTAGTGTATGTACCGACTCACCTTGAGAAGACAGCCGAGGAGAGTCCGTGCAAACGTTCCAACAATCCAACACAAAGGACAACAAGGGAAGGTCAAGAAGTCGATCCCGGTCTGAGCTCCATAATTCACCTTATATACTATAGTATATAACTCCATCACTTAAGTCTAGGTTGTGGTCCAGCTTCCCCGGACTTCAAGGATGAAGAGATCGTCAACACCAACTACTGTAGTGTAGTGTAGTCAAGGTAATGTAATGTAGATGGTGTACACTTCGGACTTTTCTCCTATAGTGTATATGGTTCACATCTGAGCGCTGATCCTTCAACCCCTCAAGCACCTCGAAGGCTCGCACCCAACCCCTCCCTATCGCCGCCCTATTTCCTTTTTTGGAGTCCTTTGCAGCAAAAAAAAACCAAGTGTCGGCCTGTACCTCACGCGGGATTAGACAAAGTGTGGCGCCCAGGCAACAACTGCGGTAGTCTACAGTACCCGAATCCCTTCTCCGCTTGAGAAGTCCAGCGGGGGAAGTGAAAAAAAAAAGGTGACATTGTCGTTGACGATGCCCTCGTTATTTTCCAGGTTTGTGTCTTGGCAGTTACAGTCCCTGGCAAGCTTTGGAAATTTCGGCCCTGACATCCATCTCTGGCTGCAACTCGGTGCAACTCTGAAGTGTACAACACCCCACTGTGTCACCATGCCATTGACGCCTGTTTTGTACGACACAGCATGGATGGCAATCTATCATTCCCACGTGTTTCCCCAGAATGAATGTCCCCAGGCGGAGTAATGAATGGACCATGATGGTACTCGGAACTGGAGTTCGCTTGTGCAAGTTCTGAATTCTGTAGACCGTCAAACCTTTTTCCCCGGACTTTTTTGCTCAGTCCTCGAAGCTCACACGTCGTAATATCTCGTTTTGACTATACGTACTGTGTGTGTGTGGGTGTAACTTTTCGATAAGATGTCAGGGGCAATCTTTATGCGACTTGATTGCTGAAAGACATTGACCGACGAATGTCAATGCTGAGCAATGTTACACCTACCTTACAAGTACCATCAGGTACACTCCAACAACAATGAAGCCTCCCAACGCCAAGAGATGATTAAATGCTATCCAACACATCGCGAACTGTTCCAATACTCGTCAAGCCTTCAAGATGGCCCGCCCGCTAGTCAGAAGGTCGTTTTTCAAGATCTGACGAGTACCACTTTCACTCTCGCCTAAAGTCAAAAGTGTGCAACCTAAACCTACCTACCTATAGTTAGCTATGTCTGGCACCGTACATCCAACCAATAATCCCAGGTACAGCTGAGAACCCTTTCCTTCTGTGGAGCATGAAATGCAATCTGCAGCTGCATGATGGTTCTTGATGGTTTGTGTAACACAACTTCAACGACATGGCTAAGCAGGTTGGTAACTACATATGTATAGCCAATGAATAAGAGTTGTAGAAGCCAAGCTTTCACGTTGTTTTTCTTTATCATCATATTTTTCTTTTTCATTCTTCCACATTTTCTCATAACCGTCCCTGATCGGACAAAGTCTCAAAGCTCGAAGAAGAAGAGGAAGGCCTCGTTAAAGGACCAAGAGGGACAGAGTGGTACAATAGGATAAAACATAACCGCATGTAACGTCAGAACTAGTGTACTGCAAGTGATGGAGAAAGGAAATGCCGTAGTGTAGGCACAAGAAGTGTTGATATGTTGTGTTAATGAGCTAAAGAGGAAATGAAATGTTAAAAGGGCTATAATAATACAATGAAAATGGTGGTGCCCTGAACTGGGCCCACATGACATGGCCTAGGTAAGGCCGGTGGCTGGTGAATAGAAGGGAGGTGGGACACTATACCTAACAAGAGGAGAGTGTACCCGCGAAGGCGCCGTTGTACCATCCAAAATCAGCCAAAATCAAACCAACATTCCTTGAGAAATCAACCGCCAAAAAAAAAAAAAAAAGCTCCCTTTTCCTTTTGCCATGAGACCCTTATCCTTCCCCGTATATAATGTACCCCGCAAAAAGCAACCATTTGTAAGCCAAATCCGCACACCCGCATCCAGCCATCGTATGTGGTGGTATTTCGGTCCTTCAAGCCTGCGTCGCGCCAACTGTGCATAACCCCGGGCTACCAGCCCAACTATTTTTCGAGTGAAAAGAGGAAGAAAGAAAGAAAGAAATGAGCAGTAAACAATAAATGGAGCACTGCGAGGGGCCTTCAGTAGGTGTACCCATCCACACCTCCAAACTGACCCTGGCCAGCATGTGCACCTGCATGGTGGTGGTGACCCATCATGTTCCCAAACTCCATAGCCGAGTGATGTTGCAGAAACCCATCTACTACATCAGCCGTCGGGAACGCTGCAGCGTACTCCGCCACCGTGGGTACCGCATCATCCGGGTGAGTCGAGTGGTGACCATGGTGAACCGACGGGCTTGGACTGGGACCCCAGAGCATGCCGTCGAGATCCCACATCCCGCCGTGGTCCAGCACACCCGTCATGCCCAAGCCTTCGACGGGCTCCAGGTCGATGGGAGTCATGTAGAGCTCCGCCGAACCCGGTGACCCCATGAGCAAGTCATTGTTGATGTGCATGCTGCCCAAGGACGCAGTAGTGCTGTTGAGAGAATGAGGGCTCTGCGATCCCCTCTGCTGTAGTTGGTGCGCTGCGGCACCCTGTGCCTGGATGACTCTGCTGGCCTCGTACATGCGAAGAACCACCTCCCGGCTCCTGCGAGCAGCGAGTGACCACTCTTCCATGGCCTCAAGGAGCTCCAATACCGCCTCAATCTGCTTGAGCCACTCAGGGACACGAGGGTTGCCCCATTGCCAAAAGACAGAGACAAGAGGAACCATGGCAGCCTGGTAGAGAAACCACACTGCGTTCCAGCCGGACATCTGGTTACGTGTCCATTCACGACCAATGTCCTCAATGGTCGCCGCAGCAAGCTCTCGGCACGTCTCAATGGCGGCGAGATCCGAGTCACAGGCCTGAGTATGTGGGTTAAGACCTGATGAGGCCATGGAGAGGAGGACTGGGCGATGAAGAAGCATACGAAGGTTCTGATACCGCCATTTCATGATGCAGCGGGCCATGTAGAGCGGCTCAGCGCATGGGTCGGTCGTGCGCAGGAGCCAAGGTAGGTTTTCGTACCAGACAACGAGCTGCCCGTCCAGATTGCAGCGGTCCTCGGTACGCAGCAAAGGAGAAATGGCGAGCATGTCTTGGATCTGAGTGGCGATTTTGCAGAACTTGACGTTTTCAATCATGGGGAGAATACCCGCGTGTTGAGACGAGTCCCGGCCGGCATTCACACCGAACTCGGGAGGCCGAATGTTGATGGCGGGTCCCCAACGGCCAAAAGAGGGACGTCCCATGGTTGTCGTGGCCCACGTGTCGAGGCAGAAAAGAGCCCACCATGTGCGTCTCCTGGTCTCGGCAGCGACCATATCACTTCCTCCTTGGGCAAGACTCTCACGGTGAAGACCGAGAGCGCTCGCCATGCGGATGGCGGCACCCAAAACAGCGTTGGCCATGTTGGGTCGGTTAATATAGTGAAGATAGTAACCGCCGATGAGTGCCAATGCTTGGACAGTCTCGATATGGCTGCTGCCAAAGGAATCCATGGGAAGATGCTCCATGGCGCGGTTGTAATAGTTGACGTGGTTGTAATCGTCCGACTTCATTGCCACAATGCTACCCATGGCGAATACCATGTTCAACAAGGCTAACCACGGTGCGTCAAATCGTTGACCTTCAAGGTAATCGGCACGGAAAGTTGTTTCGTCGAGCATTGGGATGAAGACGTGGACTCGCTTGAAGTAGGCATCGATAAGTGTCTGTCCCTTCCATGACCATGGGATCCGCTGGGGATCTTTCTGAGTCGATGATTTCTGTCTGATGGCCGGGAAGTTATGAGAAATCTCGATACTGTTGAGCGGGGCGGCCAAGGAGCTCCTCAAGCCTGGTTGAACCTTGAGCATAACCATGAGGGCAGCCTTGATGGACGAGGCTCCAAGAAAAGAAGCTTGTCTGTCCACCGAGAGTGACAGCGCGTTGATATCGTCCGCCTCTACAGGGATGTGGTCCCTCTCCCGGCGTTCCTCGTCCCATTCTGTATCCCGAGTCGGAATCTGTTCCAATATGTTTTCAGACTTGGTTGGTGTCTCTGAGTCGGCCATCGGTGTTGTGTTTAAAGGAGGTGACGGTAGTCCGTTCGCTGTGCTGTCCGGGACGGGTCGATCTAGGAGGTTGAGGAGTTCTTGCCTGGACAAGGGAAGTAAGGCGTGGACTTCTTGGTGAGGATACAGTCGCTTCAAAATCGATCGGCATTCTTCGAGGGACTGGGAGAGGGCTTCGAGTGTCTTGCGTGATGGGATCACCCTTTGGCGGTGCTTGTCATAGAAACAACGTTTCGGTGCTCGGCTTGAGAGACATTGGCCACATGGTTGTTGACCATCACATCGACTAGGGCACTCAAGTTAGATTGATGGTGAGGCTGATCGACACGCATTGACTTACATCTTGCGTCTTTTACACTCAGCACAAGCATGAGGAGTAGTGATCCTCTTGGCTGCCCCACTACCATTGGACTTAACACTATCTCGAGAGTCAACGGCCGGCTTTCGTGGTGTTACTCCTTGGACTGGATTTGCTGTTTAGTAATGGACTCCTTGGTTCGGTAAGATCATCAACTTACATGTGTGAAACATGCCGCCTTGTGTAGGTATCGAAATTGATGGTGCCATTATGAACGCTTTGCTGACCAGAGGCTGTTTGAATGGGAATACAACTTGCGGAAAGCTGATAAGCCACTGGCAGCCAGAGAGAAGGTATAAATGTATGGGTTGCCAAGCAAGGCCCGAATATCAACCGGCGAGTTCGTGAAAGTGGCGAGACCTTGATCACAGGAAGTGAAAACCTTGTGTGGGCTTCAGATTGATATTTTGTCCTCGTCAATGATAAACAAACTAAAGACAGACCCTGGGGGACAATGAGGGGGTGGCCGAGACCGTGAGGAGCGTATGCAAACTTATATATTTACATTGAACCGAGTTGGGAATTCGTCCATTGCACTTTACCTCAGCCTCAGCCACAGGTTGTGATAAAATGCCGAACTATTCCACCCGATGGTACACCTTTGTTCTGAAGAGTATCCAGAATCACCAGGGAATGAAACATACCATCACTGTTTCACGGGACGAAAGCTGATTGTGGGGTGAGGAAGATTGGAAAGGGACCGGTGGTATGCTACCGTTGTATGTGGAGAAACTCGGATGCGGCCCCGTCAATCTTGTTGACAGGGTGAAGGAGGTATAGGATCGGGGAGTACACAACTCCAGTACTTTGCCCTCGGGCGCCGGTATACCTTGTCAAGTGAGGTATCTCGATGCTAGACTACTGGTCAATGCCGTATTCGAGGGTGACATCAAGCTAAGGAAGAACAGGGGATCCAGGGGCAAGGCTTGTTGACCAGGCACGGCCTACCAGTCAGACACCACCAGGCCCTTGATGGCTTGAAAGAAAGAAGTACGTACTCTGACTCTGTCAAGAACACCCAGGCATTCCTCAGTGGCATCATTTTAACGCCAAAGCCGGGGTCTGAGGGTATACAGAGGGTGGTACCGCAAAGTATGTACATACTGCTTTTCACAGCAACCTCTTTGGCCCACAGACTATAGGCGGGGGGCGTTGTCTCTAACACCTCTTCTCTACACTGGTTATGACGCAGGCACCGTATGCTTCCGAGTCAGGTTAGGTGAGTGGTGTTTTCAACAGTCCGTCGCTTGACCAAGAGTTGAACGGTACGCTAAGCTAAAGCCACCCGGCTGTGTCTGTAGGTGGTTTAGGGAAGGTTCGTTACGAGAATCACGGCGATGCGAGATGAGAACCCAGAGGGGTCACAACCCTCCAAGCACTCACTTTTGCCCCTTTTTTGAAGCAAAGCATCAAGTCATCCGATTCGTCTTGACCCTGAACCGTTGACCAAGCTGTTGCGCGAAGTACAAGTGAACGTGTGTGAAACGTGCTTTGTATGTATAGCGAAGATCTCTGTAGGGGGCCGTGTGGTGGTGCGGTGGTGTGGTGTGAAGGACGTTGGTGTTGGAGAGAGGGGAAGATGGGGCCGTCGGCACCAATATTGACTCGACGATTTGACTGGAGGTTGAGATGATGAAGGTAAATACGTAGAGAGGTAGGTATGTAGCTACTGCCTCGGTGCCAGCCGCTTGTGGGGAAGAAAAGCTGTTCGTCACTCCAGTCCCCCTCCCCCCCTCCTTCTCCTTCCCCCCGTCTTCAGCGAACCTCAGCATGATGGTGGATCTTTGCTACGATTTCTGTCCCTAGTTCCCGTCCGATCGGGCCAGACAGGGGTGGGGTCCGGGCTCGCCGGGGTGGATGAAGCTAGAGTGAGAGTGGGAACTTGGCAGTTAGAAGAGGAATCGTGAAAGGAACGGAGCCAGAAGACGGAGGGAACGCGCTAACAAAACGGAGGTAACAGCCTCCTCAAGCTAGTGTAAAAGATCCTTCCAACAGGTTTCGGGTTGCTGGTTAACCCTTCCGGCCTGGATTTAGCCAATCACTGCTGGAGGTCGGCACTCCGGTGTAGTTCGTCAATAAACGCAAATGGAAGTAATGCTCAAGTTGTTACAGGAGAAGAGAGGTGTTATTGTAAACTCTTTTGTGAAGAAACCGGCTCAACAGATTGTTTGAATGTCGTCTAGCATTGGGTAAGTCGAAGATGCGCGAGTATATTCTAGACGATTTAGATTTTGAGAACTGAAGTTACTGTAGCAAGGTGAGTCTTTGTGCTCTGAGGCAAGTAGGGAGAAGAACATTGGACCAAGAACTGAACAATGATAAAAGGTAACTTTGCCTTCCTCACAACATCCTACAGGCCCCTCTGCATATGGTTTATCTCGCAAGAGTCCACCCATCTTGGTCGCTTCATGATTCTTTCCCAACTTGAAGGTCATCATGTTATGAACTATCAAAGGGCTCGCATGGGGGCTGAGAACCAAGCACATTGACAAGCGAGAGATGAGAAACAGCGCATCCGTAGACTTTTAAGATGGAAAGCGCGTCCAGAAGTGTGCTCATGTAAAGATGATATGTAGTTTGTGAAGACAAGGTAAGGAGAGACTGAGTCTCTTGGCTACCGCCCGCGGCACCTTGGCGAGAGCAACGGAACCGTAGTCGTCATCATATTGCAACTTTGGAGACGACAAGGTCCGCAGGCGCTTGACTGGAGGACTTGCTCACCGCAAAGCGCCATGGGAACGGTGGGTAGATATCACGTCCACTGGACAAGCGTGAGGGTAAAGTCTATGTGGTACGGCATAGGTAGTAGTCTACATCGAGACTTGAAGGTTTGTTAGCGCCGGACGCGCCTCATGTTTTCTTACAGGGGGGTGACAGGGGGCCTTGCAAGGCAGAACACGTCTATCTGCACAATCTGATTGGCTGGAATCGCCTGATTTCAAGATGAGATGATAGAAGGGATCCGAACACCTGTTGGTTGAGACCCCCTGTAAGTAGGTACCGAGCTAACAAACTTTTAGGGGTACTGGACGGAAAGCATGGTGGTGATAAGATGGGAGAAGCAGGATAGATGTGGTTACCGGCTGTGCAGCTCGCCAGCAGCCGCTTGAAACGAAACAGTTGCGTAGCCGAGAGATGTCCGTCTAGCACCTCAAATGCCGTTTGGGTGGTAGAGGGGCAAGGCAAGGGCACGTTTGGCTTGTTTGGTCAAGGCCCTAGGCGCCTGAGGGGAGCTGTAAACGGGTCGACGGGTGGGGCAACAGCAGGGGAAAAATGGAAGCTCTGTCCCCTCCGTCGCAGTGTCAAACTTGGCGAGCTTGGTTTGAAGGATGGCGTACTACCACTTGTTGTAGCAGTTGGCGGTCGTGATAGTCCAGCGATTGTCATGACGATCCGGAAGAACTTGGAGTCTCGCCGTTTTGCGGTTGATGGCCAGGCGAGAGTCAACGCCGGCGGGTACACGAGAACCAGCGGTCTGATCGGATGTGACGTCTGCTGGTCGATGCCCTGGATGCCCTGGAGTTGCTGGGTATGAGTCCCGGGCGGAGATATGGATGTAGTAGAATGACTGATGGAATGCCGACTCTTGCAGACAAGCGAGATCACAAGGGACTCGATTTGTGGGTGCGTGGAACTGGAGGGCCAGACCATGGGCGTCCAGATGAGCCTGCCGTCTTTTGACGCCTCGTGTCGAACTCGTGGAGCAGAGAGAGATTTTGACACACCAAAAAAAAAAAAAAAAAAAAAAAAAAAAACCTTAAAGTGGAAAGCCGAGAGGCCCAGGGAGGGAGGGTCACAGAGGGCAAGCGTTTCGAGTTTTCTTGGCTCTTTCCCCTTTGATATTAGAGTAGAGCGAGTAGTGTTAGAGCGGACGTACAAGATTTCCCCACACTTCCACCATCCAACCAGATGCGCATCGAAGCTCTGGAAAGACGGCAAGCGAGCCTGTAGTGTACAATGGAACTTACCGAGGCCCCGCCTTACGTTGCTCTCGGCTCGGCTTTTCCGACACCATGGTCCTGGCCACGAATGGCAGGCAGTCTTTAGGTTTGTGGTACAGGTAGTCATTCAGTTGCATTCTGGCTGTCGTCTCGATACATAGCTGACGACGATTCTGCGGGTACGGCCTATCTTGATTGTTGATAAGCTGCAAAGTAACCTGGGGGCCTGGAGTGCAGCATGTCGTGATGCTTGAAATGTAGCTGACGAGAGTCTGGGGTTGAAGACGTGTACTGATCCCCTGGTCACCCGGCCAAAGTTCAGAGTGGCCTACACTATGGCGCCGCCGGACTGTTACCGAAAAGCCGCTGATGGAGGATGAAACTCTGGCTGTCCGATTACAAGTACATCAATGCCGGTCCTCGGTCGAGGGTCACAGAACCGAGACGTTCATCCTGTCGTCTGGTGGTGCAGAGTCAGGTTATTCATCAGGTTAGCGTCCGCTGTTCCGTTTCGGCCCGCCTTGAATGCAGAACCTAAGGACTGCATCGACCCCTTGTAGGCTTTGCATTGATTCCATGAGGCGCGATTGCCGATCACAGGAGTCTGAAGATTAAAGGAATCGAAAAAGGAAGAGTGGTATGTTAAAAGTTGCTTCTGAGGCGCGGCAAAGCGTCCACCCTTCCGAAAACCAATGAGTGCAGGTGCCTGGAGGATGGTTGGCCTGCCACGAGGTCCGACATGATGTTGATGCATCGATCTGACAACGTTCACACGTTAACGCTAGTTGGATAGACTCAAACCTCTCCCTGGATAGACTAAAACCTACTTTTCTAGACATACAGCTCATCACTAGTTCCCACTTGCGTCCGAATCTCACCAGGTACTAACTATGTACATCCGTGCGTAGGTACGCTCTTTAAGTACTATCATTAACTTGAAACTATCACTTCTTCTATTGCTATTATCATTGCTGCTACTATCATCATCATCATTATCGTTACTGTCACTATCATTATATACTTTTTCTATCACTACAGCATCACTTCTCAAATACTTGATAGACTACAATGTGGCATAAGATACAGAAGATAAATTTTACATTTTTCTGAAACTTTACATCATATAGTGTAACACTTATACATAAGGTAACCTTTGGATATAATTTAATAAATACAGCAATGTCATTGTTAACAATCTTATAAGCTTTCTAAATAGCTTCTCAAAAAACATGAATTTGGTGATATGTCCAGTAAGGTCTACACTTCAAAGGAGTAGAGGTATGTTTAATCTATCCAGGAAGGGATTTGAGTTTATCCAGCTAGCGTGACATCCAATGGTACGTTCTGTCTGATTGGTCTTTTTCCGCCAAGTCGCAAGACAAGCACGTTCTGGGAAGAGAGTGGGTCGTCCTTGAGGTATCTTTTCGCTGCACCGTTACCTAGAGTGCAAGGTTTCGGGCGGCTCGGAACAGCATTTCAGCACTGAAAGTCTCCGAATGGGGAGCTTTCAGTGGCTTATGCGAAGTTCCTACTTAGCGTCTTGGCAGATACACTTCTCAAGCCGGCGATACCTACCTTCGTATCAGCCTGCTTTGGCAACTACACGTAGGTAACAAATATGTTGTAGGTAGCAAAGGTTCCATCTAAGCGCCTCACTCAAAACCGCTGGATGGTTTGGACCGTTGAGCCCAGCGGCCTGTTCCCGATCGGCCTGGTGGGTCCTGTCTCTTCTTAACCCTGTACCATGGACCTACCTGCTCAGGGTACTGGACCTAGCCCAGTGTAGTGCCCTGAGCTCGTGTAGTGTACCTTGACGAATCAGGAGGTGCTTCTGGAAGCTCGCCCAGCTTTCCTTACTGCCAAGCTGCCTTGCCGTCTCCTGTCTCACATGTGTGGAATAGGTAAGTGGGAAACAAACACACTCCTACACTACTATCGCTCCCGTTCATTTCAGGATCAGAGGTCCTCTATCAGTTGAAACAGCAGCGCTGAGTGAATCTTCCTTCGTGTTGCAAGTCGGCGTGTTTCAAGCTTTTGTGATTCCTCAGCCGCCGGCTAGGTCCGCAACCCTCGTCCGCCGGGCGATCTGATGATATCCATCAAGCCCGCCCGCTCGGGGTGGATCGCATGGACGTTGACAGGCCGGGTCAGGTCACTTCCTCGACAGACTTCCATACATACCTACTTCATTGCCTAGGTCTTTACCTTCACCTTGTTAGTTATCCTACAATGGGCTCGTACCGGTCCCGTTATAGGACTAGTGTGGTGTGGTTTCTGTATGGGGCTCTCGATGTTCCGTTCCTTTACCTTGGAGTGTTGGCTCGAAAACAGAAAGAAATGCACGGATATCATCCAGTCCACAGCTTACACCACGGTGTACCTTGATGAACAACACCCTTTATTCACACGCAACCACTTGTACACTACATTATTGTAAGGGGTACGTATCGGAACAAAACTGTCAGAGTTCCGTGAGGGCTGTTTAGCATTGCAACAGTGATCCGCAAATACCGGGCGCCCAGCCCGACGATTCGCCGGCGTGTACCTTTGTACCTGATTCTTGAAGATGCAATCATGAGTGGAGTAGGTCGATGTACAGCAGCCTGATTTGTTCGTTAGCGCGGGACTTGTTCACCACCCACTCTGCAAACGATTCCATCAAGTTTCATGCAAGAAATCAGCATCAACCAGATGCGTCTCGGCCATTTTATACACACCCTCTGTCCCATCCTCCATGTCGAGCCTGGTCATCGTGTTCGTTTTCTGTGTACTTTTGCAGACCCCTGTCACAAACAAATAAACAAACCATGGGCTGAACTACCATGCATATGTTCCTACATCATTCCAAACATTACAAACCGGACAATAGTGAAAATCTGGTTGTTCTACCAGGATTCTGTGAGCTGCTGAGGTCCTTAGTCCGACCCAACATGATGCTCCTTCCGAGTGAGAGGGTCATGTCATGTCGTAGACCATCTCGGAAGAATCACCTAGTGTCTCCCCTCACCGTGCCTGTGTGTGATGAGATAGTGGAAAACAAAACAAAAGAGCCTCACATTAAACGTTGCCACATGGCAGCATATGAGATTGCACTAGCACAAAGTGAGCCTTGTGCGAGATGATCCCTCCCACATACCTCCCCGGGTCCAAAAGCAGAAATGAGAACAAATGAGAGAGTAGAATTTGGATCACAGCTACGCTACATGTACAGAAAGAAATAAAACTTTCAGAGAACTCTCACGTTCACAAAATAACATTCACTCTCACCTACACAAAGCAGTCTTCTCGTTATTGCCCAGCACACCGCAAGATCCACAGGCATAAGGTGTGTGCCTTTGTAGCCTTGACCTTATGCACCTTACGATGCCAATGAGACTGTGAGGTGGCATTGAGCGTTCGGGGGAGCATGACCCGCGGTCCGAAGCGCGAAATGAACAACCTCCATTCGTCCATGTAGTGTATCGTTCATCCATCCATCCAGGCCGAAATCTGCATGCTACCGTGCCTGAAATAGTTTCTGATGATAGATGATGGATGCTGATGACTTCATGTCGGAAACAGGGAAAATTTTTAAGAAGAAGAAAACATGTTGATCATGATCAAGGGGGGGGGCATCTTGCAGACAAGGGCTAGTTGCTTGCCCGAGCTGAAAGGGCATCCTATCCTAGGAACTCCCAATATTCATCGTCAACCATGTATTTGAATCATGTCCAAAGACTTCTGTGTGAACGGCCCTGGGCATTGCCTCATAGAATGACGCACAAGAACCGGATAACAATACGGTAAAGCACAGAAAGACACAGATTCACCGAGACCTGCCACGGTAGATGAAGACAGGGTCAAAAACGCCCGCAAAGAACCACATCAAGCCTTGATTAGACTTTAACCCAACAATGACACGAAGTCATTTGATAGGTGCGTTCGACATTTCATCTCCCTTCATGTAGAATTGTAAATACGTTATAGCCCAAAGCTTTTTCGCCTGTTCTGTTTCCTATTTCTCATTTTCCTGTCTGTCTGCCTTTTTAGTCTGTCTATTTGTTGAAAGCTACTTTCGAACTTTGCTTTTTCGCTGTCAATTCTATTTCACTGTGCTTCCCAAGTAAGGGAAAGAGGCGAGTGGTATGAGGTCTGCAAGCTCCATCTCTTCTAGATTCCCTGACCATTATCCTGGTACCAACGCGCCATCATCTTCGAGTCGAGACTCGAGATCCCTATTGCCTTGGCAAGCACACCCCCAGCCAGCTTCTAAGCCCCCCGACAGCGCGTGTTAGCCTTGCTTCGTCAACGCTCGTCTATTCCATAAATGTCCCTGATCATGTCCTGATTGTCTATTTTCGCCTCCTTCTAATGAGTCAGCAAGCAAGCGCTGGCTGCTACTGGCCAAGCGGGAAAAAGACTTGCATCCGCATCATGATTGTCGGCCTTCGTCGATGCTTCCATCAAGACAAGCGGATCAGGGATCGGAACTGGGCCTGGGCCCCAGCTGAATCCAGAGCCAATTCAAGTTTTCTGTTGATCTCCACCCACCCACCCATCTATTCCTCTTTCCTTCTGGTCGCCACCTTCGACACTGCCTCCCCCCCCCCCCTCTTTGTTTTCAGAACTGAGAGGCGTATTGCTCGGCCACAGTCCCTTCTCATTTCCACACTTGCCTCAACCCCTCTTCCTCCTCTCTCACACATGGAAGACCTGAGTTCGGCTCCTGATCCCGTCGAACACGCACGTGTTGTCGATGGGGATGTACTGCTTAGTGATGATCTTGATCATCTCCTGAGCCACCATACCACCCGTGAGTGCGGAGATGTTGTGTAGCTCGCCGTATTCGGCTCGGGCAAGATCCTCTGCAACATTCCCCAGCTTCTCGTTGAGGTCGCCATACTCCTCGCTTGATAGGTTGTCGGAGAGCAAGCTCTTGACGGCTTCGACAATCTGCGTCTTGTCGGATGATGCGTTGCCACAATGCGCCAGACCTCTCAAAGCCAGGTAAGTGGGGAAGAGCGACATGGGCTGTAATGTCATTTCCGCGACTTGGTCATTGGCCATTTCTTGTCCTGTTACAACAATTCAGTATATCATTCTGGTACGGCTAGGAGCTCATGATGAAGTCCGCGGTTGCAGTGAGGGATACAAGGGGATTCCACCCATTACCAAAAGAGGCGAGATGAACTTACGAAGCACCTGTTGAAGCCGCTCTTTACTACCAAGAGGGGCAGTGTCTCCTCCACCCTCTACATTGATCAGCTTGACGAATGCTGCGTTCTTGCAGAAGAGGTCCACTTCGGCAGGATCCACCTTTCGTCCCGTTCCCGCAATCGCTTGTGCCGTCTGCAGGACTTCGGCCGCGTCCTTACGAGCCTTGGCCTTGTAGATGTTCTGGAGTTGGACGTAGACCTTGGACTGGGCCTTCATGTCCGGAACATTGCCCGGAAGGGGCAGGGAGCCGTGGTTTGTATAGAAAGCCTTGACCGCGTCCGCGATGATCCAGAATGTTGACCTTTCTTGAATCTATAAGCATCGTGTCAGCAGACATGGTCTTTTCCAAGAAAAAACCTGCGGGAACGTCGCAACGTACAGGGCCCTTGTGCTCGTACTCAAACACCTCCTTTAGTCCGGATGGTAGAGAAAAGGGGGCGACCGTTTTGAGCACAGCAGCAGCAGCCTCGTCGAAGTTCTCTTCGCCACCCTCGGGATTGTCTGTCCTTGCAGCGTCCCGAACTAGCTGCCTGAACTCCGTCTTCTCCTTGTAGGTTGAGGGGTAGGTGCCATTGTGTGTCGCCTTCCACTTATCCAAGTAATGAAGCAATATTACCACGTATGGCAGGTGGCCGTGTTCGAAATTGTCTAAGCTGTCGATATCCTTGGTCATAGTTTTGGCAAACTCGACCAACTCAGGCCAGGGGCTGAGGAGTCGGAGGTCTGTTGTTGCCGTCTCGTCCGGGTGGGTGTCGACTATTGGAAATGTTCCCGGAAGTCTGATAGTAAAATACGAATAAAAGCCAGTCGAGTGAATGGCTATTAGTGGTGTCTTGTGTTCTTTGCTGTATTGTTCGAGGGACTCCAACTCAACATGGTTGATAGGATATGTGTACATGATGGCGGTAAATAAGGGGGACTTTTTAAGTAGTGACCCCAGTGTGTCGTTCTGCTTCCGTCAAGTTAGTAGTGAGCTTCGCAGCAGAGTTAGGCCATGCCCTCTTGGATCCTTTCTTTACCTTGGTCTTGGGCGACCAATCTCCATCAACTTCCGGGTTCAACTCCCCCAGCAGACTTGCCAGACATTGTGCTCGGGGTTTTCCATAACAACTATCGTCCAAGAAAAAGTTGACACCCAGATCGGCCTCGTCCACCAGCGCATTGTCGTGGATCACGAACCGCCCGATACCTGTAGTGTTCGTATCAGCATCGTGAAGTTTAGTCCTCTGATCGTGGCGATCCGGGGCGAAATTGGGAACAGCAAAGTACCTGGCAATATAAGGTTCTTGAGGGTTTCGACACCCACTGTACCGGCGCCAGAGTTCACAAGCAGGATGTTGGCCGACTCAAGGGCGGCCTGACCACTCGCTGCCCATAGGCGCAACTGGCGATCATATTTGCGTTCTTTGTCCGAAGGACCCTGCAGAATGGGCGGCGTCTGGTCCATTACAATCTCAGTCATTTTGGATTATAACTTTCTCCAGATAATGGTACCGCTGGCGTGACCGAGGAAGAGCTGTCGGTTGCGTAGGTCGTGATTATGAGGTACGTCGCGAAGCGGTGGGGTTTGAGAGCCTCTAGTGGATCACCACCTTGCTGACAGTGGTTGGAACAGCTGCAGCACCGCCACGATAAGGCATTCGGGGAGATACTGTGCAGCTACAGTACGCGTGGCGTATGTGGCTGGTGAGGGGACCTTGATGGCTGCCAAGGAACGTTGCCAGGGGTTGCGCATGCCGAGGTCGGTTGCATTTGTTGAGTGACATCGATGAACCACTTCGCGATACTTAGAGGTACCGTATAATCTCGTGAAATTAAACTTCGGGTAAACACTTTTTATGTAGACACAATCAGGGTTGATAGAGAGGATAAGTAATAAAGAAGCATGCACATAGCTGACTGACACCATTAACCCTACTTGTGCCTGCATAAAAAGTGTTTACCCGAAGTTCAATTTCACGAGATTATACGGTAGGTTGAAGTTCATAAGTAGAGGTAGGTAGCACTACCAAGTATCTATACCATCAACGATGAGATACACAGCGGGAGTTTGTGGTGCTGCTTGATTGTAGAGCATCGGAACCAGCGAATACATGTGCAATTTCCTCCACGTTCCGGTCCTTTTCGTAGTCGGCTCATGCTGCAAGTGCAACTAAGCCCGGTCCCCAACTGGCATCCTCGAAAATTTCAAAACAAACAAGATTCATCCGGACGCGGACTTACGGCAAATCATCTCGCTGTTTATCACCAAGCTTAAAACCTCAATATCTCTCATCAATTGTTCACGCGAAGTGGGCTGAAATGGTTTCTTCCAACTGACGTCTAGGTACCTACCTCTAGATTGGATATCTCAATTTGGGTTGGTCTTAGTTGGTACTAGATACCTCTATGGCGTTGCCCGTCCCGCCTGTGATCATGGCTCGCTCCTTCTCATGAAGCAACACTTGGCAGGTGGTATGAGCAAGCACTTGATGGTACAAATGGAAGGCGCGTTACAGATGCCATCACCCAGAAGTCACGCTCGTGCGATTTCCCCCCCTCGAGTTTGTTGCAACTCCTCGACAAAGGTCATCATAATCCGTTACTCTTCTTCCGGCTTCCAATTCTTTGTCTTAGAGTTCCTGCTGATAAAGTGAATTCAGTGCCCTCCTCGGGCTGATCCGTCCATTACCCCTTCTCGCTCTTTCACATACAACTTCACCCCTCACGATTCTGAAGTAGCTGAAAGGCGATGGAGCAAGACCTGGCTTGCAATGTTAACAAATGCGGCGCCCAGTTGACGGGTCAAGCCTTGGTGACCGCATGCAGGTCGGTTGGCAACTCGATACTATCGTTCCAGTCCAATCAACTGACAATTTCCTAGCCATGCAATATGTATGGACTGCGCAAGTCGCCACGGCTTCACTAGCCAAGGGCCCTATACCTGCCCTGTTTGCCGTCAGCCGCTGAATGAGAGCGAGACAGGTAGACAGCTTCTTCGTCCATCAGAAGAGTGGAAGTCCGTCATTTTGTGTGGTCTAAGTCCTACGGTGGTCATGGAATGCGCAGGAAGAGCCCTCAGTTTTTGGTCCTATCAGATGACAAACCAAATGTCCGTCTTGAAACCTTTCTTCTTGCTCTTCATTCAATTGTTTTAGGCGTCTTCAGATTCTGACATTCAAATGCTAGCCTACGTCAGTCTCAGATGAACCGAAATCTGCAACTTCATTGCGTCTCACTCGAGCGTGAAGTTGAGAGCGTGTGGAATCAAGGAAACACCAGGATCTCCACCTTGACGGCCAAGATCAAAGGTATATTCAGGCTTTCGATCTCTTGGGCATCTTGTGCACAACGGGCTCACATTTTTATGTCAGATATGGAACTTGAAGAGCAAGGGCTCCGTCGAAAATGTGAAGATCTTCGCCGCACACTCGCTGAAAAGAGCAAGAAGTTGGAGCAGGCTCAGGAGCTCTACAACAAATTGAAACAAAAGGTATTGCTAAGCCAACCAGCCAACGATCCGGCTGATGTCATGGGCTCGAGGTTAGGCTCGAATCCGGATCGGTATGACCTCCAGGGGCAAAACGCTGGTGGGATCGGACCGACAACCAACTACTTCCCCGATGACTCGAGGTCATCGAGAAGGCATTCTGGTTCAGGAAGTGTGGATAGTTGGAACAAACCAATGGATCCCCAATGTGAATCTTCACTCTTACTCTGCTACACTGATAATAAGACTAACCTTTCTGCAGTTCTTGTGCCTGGAACACCAGCTAGCCACATGTCAATAGGCGAGCCCGGCTCTCGTTTCTCATCCATGCGAGATACTCTCAGTAACACGCTGCCGGCAATTCCTCGCTCTGGTCGTTATACCCAGTCTAGTAGAGCGAACAACCATGCAACGGCTAGTAACATTGGGCGAACAACGTCGGCATCACTCACTTCTACTGAACTGAGAGGCAGTCGGCGCCATGATGAGTCGGTTGTCCCCAGGACATCTACAATACGAAGAGTAGGAGGTGTGTGATCTTGACAATACGGTCGCTCCAACTCTTCAGGTATACATTCTAACTGTACGAATCACTGTTCAGACCCGATACTCAGAACCAGCTCCCATTCCTTTGACTCAGTCCACAGTTTTATTGATCGGTAACCCAGTTGAGGACAATCACAAAGTGTTCGTTGTTAGGAGATCAGGATGGAGCATTACCCTGCCACACCTCCCGTGCTATATAGTGTAAATGGTTGACATGTCGTGTAAAGTTCAGTCTAGAACCCGGGTGGATCTGGAGATGCCAGCAGAACCGGTTTGAGAAAAGAAGGAATGTTAGCATAATCCATGGAAATACTTGAAAATATAATACTAACCTTATGAACGAGGTTACTATCGAATATCATTTGTATTTAGTGCAGCTTCATTCTCTCCGATGCAATGGCGCAATGAGGCGCCAAGACAGCGGCCATGACTTCATTACTAATTGCCTGAACACTTCTACGGTAAGTATAGCAAAAGTTATGGAACATTTGCTGCGGATTATATCAAATGATTAATATGTACTCTGGTGGTTACGTCGAGAGGCGGACGGTGTGTTGGGGCCGCTGGTTGACAAGAGTACATAGCTACAGTATTATGAAGCAAAATACAACAATTTAAAGGTTGTGTAGTGTAGTGGTTATCACTCTGGATTTTGAAACTCATCAAAACTTTCCAGTAACCCCGGTTCGAACCCGGGCACGACCTCAACTTTTGGCACTTTTTTCTTATCTAAATTCCATGAAACTGCGTTCACCGTGATCGTATTTCTTCTGCTTCCTTTTTTCTTACACCTTTCATCGTTTCGTCGCGCTTTCTTGGGTTGTCTTTCCGGAATGGCGACCACCATGTAACGGAAGGATGAGTGCAGTACCATACTGAATGCCACACAAGCTTCAATTGCAGGAAGCACTTTCTGTTTGATTCAAACGCTACGCCACAATCCAATGCTTTGTTTCCTTTCAGCATTTCGGACGGATTTATCCCACCAACAATCCCACAAATGCGACTGGTCCATCAAAATCCCCCCCTTTGCTTCAACTTGCATCTGACGCTCCTGATTCCATATCTATCTGGTCTTCGGTAACCGGCTTGCACAGACAAAAGCCCGAAACAGGGTGGGGAGGATCAACGACTAGGCCAGGGGGTCAACCAGCCCGCTCAGGGGTAGAACGAACGGAGCGTCCCATTTCGCGTTTCACGCGATCGCCCATGGATCGTAACATCTTTCCGAAAGTCTGGATTTGACGCCATTGCTGAAGCACTCACGGACTCGAGAAGCTCGCAAGCGCGATATTAGTTCGGGTATGGCGGCATCGGAACTTGTTGAAGCCGTGAGGCTGAGGCTGGACGAACAACAGGCGATGATTGAGGAGAAGGTCAGTCGGAAGGACCGGCCAATCTACGAAATCTATCTACTGCACAATAGGCGGAACTGCTTGGCAGAGACGAGAGGGTGACCCACAGCGGCTGGACAGGCAAGAGTGTCAACAGAGCCTCAGTGATTGCGATAGGTCCGGCAGTGGTGTTGATAGGGCGATTGATGCACTCCGATCGATGGTATGCAAGGCTTGGTGATCAAACTTGTTGATGGTGAGAGGTCCGAGGTGTTTGGGACTCCTGAAAATAGCAGATCCCGAGGCTCTTGACATCGTCAAACCTTCAAGTCCTGGCTGGTCGTGCACTCGCAACACGAGCCCTAAATGGGCATCCCGCCTTGCCCAAGTGAGACGACCATCTGCGTCACGAGACTCCTGCTTGCCACTTCGAGTTTACGCTACCTCCAGAACTCCTACGCGAGACGAGGCTAGGAGGGAGTCCTGTTGACGCAGTTTATTGCGCGCAACTGTGAGTCTTTGACCGCTGGAGTTGAGGCTCAATTTCCCCCCTCTTCGCCCTCCATCCCGTATCCGTTTCTCTTATAATACCACGATCTGATACTTCGCTTAGGAAGATCTTAAGCCAAGACGCCAGCCACTATTTCCCCAACATACATTGTCGTATCCATTCTTTGATGGATCGTACACAGTTCACGGCCCAAATCTGGCCCGGCTTGGCTCGACATGGTCTTTCGCGGCACGAAAACGCTTGTTTGGGTCGACACTTTGCTTGGTGGCTTAGTACCCGTTCAATGCGACCCCTGGTACCGACAATGAGGCGCCAGGAAGCGCATTCGGCAAGTCAAATCGATCAAAGCTGATCTATCGAAGTCGTTGCAAAAAACAAGAGAAAGGGCAAATGTCACGTCTCTGAACTGGAAGTTTCTACAGAACGGCATGTCCAAGTGAAGGCCAAACATATATTTGCATAGGTCAGGTTTTCTCTAGCTCGTGTCTTATCTGAGGATTTACGGCATAGAATATGGAGAATGGTGGCTTTACCAGTTTTCGGTTCAAGAGGTTCTTCAACAGATTCGGACGGACAGCATGACCAGAATAAACCAACGAATTTGGTTGCATTGCCCAAAGAACTTCGAGGGATGTAACGATGTTGAGTGGCATCGGAATTAGCACTGGTCATAAAAGGTTACCCAAGTCAAGCGGCATTAACACGAGTGAATCTGCCGATGCCTCGATGATACACACATCCCAAATATCGCAGGCGATTACACCAAATATCATTAATGATTATTTACCCCAGAATCGTTATGTGTTGCAAGATGGGCACCTTGGAAGTTCTCCCCTGTCAGTGGAGATCATGTTGTTCGTTCGCAAAAAGTGCCGGAAGTGGAAGTCCGACCCCAGATAGCATCTCCTGCCACCCATTTTCCCCAACATCTCCCGCAATCCGATCCGATAACAATTTGCAGGCACTATTGTAGTCTCAAACGCCATGTTTCGTGCAAGAAATCAAGCGCCGAGCTACAGAGGACCCTGCGCAAGATCAGACATTGAAACTCAAAACTCGGCCCCTTACGACCAGGGTGAGAAACGCCGGGGGACGGCAGTGCATTGTAAACACCACATGGCACCCTCGACGACGGCATCGGTATCACGAAAAGAAAATGTATAAAAACCGGCCTTGACTTCCTCTCTGCTCGATTTAGCTTTTGGCTTCATCATTATCATCAGCATCAGCTTCAACACTTCAGCAGGCAGGTCCAGCCCTCTCAGTCACACTCCGGCTTTCTCTCCAATCTTCCTTTCTCAACACTCTTAATCCTCTCTCCTGCCGGTTCAGGTCATATATTCACGACTTTTTTTGTGCTGTGCACCCGTCAGCTTTGACTTTTCCAACACATAATCGACGAAAGACAACCTTCAAGACACCGCAGACAACATGGCATCTCTCAAGTCCATTCTCATGAGCTTCTTCGCTCTTGCTCCCCTGGTCGCCGGTCACGGGGCTATCATCGCCGCAGTAGGCGACGCCGGTGGTGCCGGTATGGCCCTGGGCATTGACCCCAGCACTCCCCGTAACGGATCGAAACGCACCCCCTTCCAGGTGGACACCACTCGATTCCGTGGTCAGGCGGCCAAGACGGTCGGCCAGACGATCCAAGGTGGCGCCAACAAGGTTGAGGAGGGCACCCAAGCCATCATGGCCGCCACCAAGGATTCGCTGCCCCAGGTGACGGCCGGTGGTACGGTCAAGATGACGCTTCACCAGATCAACCAGGACGGAGCTGGACCCTATTCTTGCATGATCAACTCGGATGGGCAGGCGACGGAGTGGACTGCGATTAAGGTTGCGACGAATGTCCCGGGCAGGTTCGGTCTCTCTAGAGTGAGTCTCTATCCGCCACCACTTGGATGATAAGGCCATTAACTGACAACCCTCAACAGGCTACCACGACTGACTTTCCTTTGGTCGCTTCCATCCCTGCCGACCAAAAGTGCACCGGGACCGTCGCTGGTCAAGACAACGTGTGCTTGGTGCGGTGCCAGAACCCTATCGCCTTCGGTGGTGTCGTGCCCGTCCAGATGGCCGGCGGTGCTGGTGCTGGAACTGGTGGTGGCAACACCGACACCACTACTCCCGTCACCAACGCGACCAGCGCTGCCAAGGCTACCAAGCGCCCTCTTGCCAGGAGGTACTTTGCCAAGCGTTCCGACATTGAGAAGGATTCCGTGGAGGACGTGGAGCAGTGGCAGCACTAGAAGGGCACTGCCTCTCTCAGGTAGTGTTCTTGACGATCCTACGACGGGCATGAGCGAGACGATAATGGGTTGGAAAGTGAAGTGAGTGATTACAAACTGGGATGTCAATATAATGGAGCGTAGGATATTACTAGGAAGTAGGGATAGAGAGGCGGGGAAGCCGAGTGTGACTAGAATAGAGACAGACCGTTGAACGGTTGGCGTGTAAACTTCACGAAGCCCATGATGTTGTGCTTGTCAACATGTGAACCGCCAAGATATCTTTACCTTGAACCTTTGTCAACAAGGAGAAACGGCTCGCGTGACAGAGTAATAGGTCGAGAGAGAATCGACGCAGCGCCTGGGCCTCTTTCTTTACCTTCAACCGCGCTCGAGCCGTTGGGGCGTCTGTCAGAAGACCAGGAGTCCGCCGCTATCTGGGCACAAAGATGGACGAGCTTGGACTTCACACGGTTCGGGACGTTTGTTAGCTGGCCTGGGTGGGTGTGTTTATGCTCCTCTTTCTCCTTCCCCGCATGACGTCAAGCAGGTAGCGTTGGGGGCCTCGCGTATGATGAATGAGTGGCGATCGGACTGCCGCTTTTGGGCTGCTTTGAGCTTATTCTAACCACCTTTATTGCGGAGGCAACGATCGAGATTGGACTGGCACGGCTGGGCGATACCGCAGTGGAAAATGGGGCTGCTATGTATCGATGTGTTTCTGGCCACACAGAGACGGCTCTCTGTAGGTCAGTGGTCTAGGTGGACGATTGGCATAAAGAACCCCAAGTGAGTGCTACTCGGACGGGCGACTGCAGCAAGATGGATGGATGCGTTCGAGATTGAACGTACCGGTCAAGATCGTCAAGTTCCGTTTGTTTCGAGGGAAAGAAGAGAGGGGAGGATATCACTGGTCCGAGGATTGGGAATGATTGACGCTCTCCGTCACTTACACACCACTGGGCCAATCACATTGCCCGGATGTAGACTGGGATGCCTACACTACCGATATCAACGGACACGAATGGGGCGGTAGAAGGAGGAAAGAGCAACAGACAATGACAGGGGAAGCCATCTTTCCACCCTTCAAGTCAGAGCACAGCACGGCCCCAGACCTTGTGCCTTCCCTTCCACTTGAGAACTACTGCACATCGATCACATTGGAAAGGGTCAGGTGCCTTATTGCGTAGTTAGGCAGAGGAAAGGGTCCACGTACTGCCGGTTCCTTCGATTATTCCTTTTTGCATTGTCAATCCTTCCAACATCACCGTCTTCTCCGTCAAACATCCTGAAAACCCTTCACTCCGAGATACCCTAGCAGCCATCCTATCAGCAGGACACCTCGCTCTATCTTATAACCTAGAGACCACTTCGACTCCCTTGTCGACCAACTACTTACTCTTCACATCTTTATCTCTCTGCCATTATCCATTTCGAATATTATAATCTCCACGTCCCATCTCCCGGACCCCTGATCTATTTGCTACCATACCAGTTACAACGTTTGTCGAACGCTGAGCCCATCAGAGATTCTCACCAAACGAAGACTTCGACACCATGTCTGGTAGGTAATACCATCTTGAGTTGCAGATAAGACCATACACTGACTGATGCGGTCTTGATACCTCGCAGAACAACAGCAAAACAAAGCTCCCATCACCATCGACACCACCAGGGCGAACACCACCCACAGCGAACAACAACAACAACAACCAGTACAACATCGCAACTCAGAAACAGCAACCCCCACATTCACCAACTTCAGTCCCGTCTCGGCTGATTCCTCTCCCATCTCTCCGGCAGACCGTCGGATGAGTGCCGAGTGGGGTATGTTTTTTTTCCTTTTTTTTTTTTTCTTTTTCTTTTTTTTTTTCCGTCACTCCTTTATCCTCACCAAGTTTGCTATCCATCTTGTAATGATCACCCAAGTCAGTAACGAATCTAATCGGTGTGGGTTGCAACAGATGCCTCCAAAGTGCCACCAAGCCGCTTCCAAAAGCGCAAGGGATCCATCTACGCCGTGCCCAAGACACGGGACGGCCATGTTGACAACAACTACGCCACTGCCTTCCATCAGAAACACATGGAGAAGGGATACCAGAATGTAAAGTAAGCGAGCGATTGAGTGGATTGTGTTGGGCAAACAACGGCGCGCGGAGGAAACAAGCGTATGAACATTGAAGGAGGATCTGCTACGATGATATCCGGTTGTCCATGAGGTTGAGCTGGGTTTTATTGACTGTGTGCGTGCTGGGATAGCTTGTTTATCGTATGGGGGATGCGTTATACGACATGGTTGATTGTTATCTTGCTGATGGGCTGTATAATCACCATTTCCGATCGATGGCATTCATTTTCTGTTTTGAATCAGGAACTTCCCCTCACTAAGATATGAACCAAGATCTTCTTCACATGCAAAGGGTAGCAGATGTGCTGGTTGCTATCGGGAGTGTTTTAATTTCGAAACGCACAGATGTAACCACCCAGGCCTGCTGTGTTGAGTTTATTAAAGACGTGAAGGAGAAACTGGAAAAGTTGCTCAACTGTGCAAAATTCATCTTGCTAAACAATTAGAGATAGGTTTGTTCTCATGTCCGCCCAAGCCCCAACCTTTATTCCCCCCTTTCCGTTGTCAGCCTGTGTACAATCTAAAGCATTGGCAAGATCCACGAACCACCAACCCCTACCTAGTTCATGTGAAAACAAAAACAAAAAAGAAATTCCCCCAGCTCCCTGTCCTTCAACCCCGTACAATGAATGGGGATGTTCGTGGTGATTTGTGTTTATGTAGTGGTAAATGTTTAAGGAACCGACCCTCTTCCCACTTGGTGTTCCAGTCTATGTACAATAGAGGCCAACCTCGCCGTGAAAACCAGAAAAGACACAACGCAACGGCCCAACCCCAAGGGGAAAAAAAGAAGAAAAGAAAAGAAAAAAAAATGACAAATGAGAAGCTCTTGACAAACAAAGAGAACAGATATTGATCATTCATCCATTTCATCAAGATCGATAGCATCCGGGTTATGAACCTCAACAGGCTGAACCGGCATGCTACCGCCCTTCGGTCCTTCCGAAGCCGCCACAAAGCCCACGGGCGCGCGCGCCTGTCTCTCCAGCTGCGCCATCGCATCCGCAACCTCGGCGTCCATCTCTCCTCCTCCATTTCCTGCTGCCTCCTCCTCCATCCTCTTCTGCTGACTCCTCGCCAGCGCCTGCGAAGCAATGAAGTTGACATCCGTGTTGTACTGCGCCTGCACGCTTCTCTTGATGCGGAGCATCTCCTTGTAGGTGTCCTCGTTGCCATGTTGCACCTCGAACTGATCCCACTTGGTCCAGAAGCCAGGGTTGGTGCGCGGGTCGCAGAACTGCGAGGCGTGACCGTAGATGGCACGGGCGCGATCGATCTCGCCCAGCCGCTTCTCCATGTCGGCGAACTTGAGGCACATGTCGCGGGCCTCGGCGTCGGGTAAGGCCGCAATGGCGCGCTCGTAGATGGGCCGCGTCGAGGGCAGGCCGAAGTTGGACGCCGACTTGGTGATGTAGAAGTTGAACATGTCGGCCCGGTCCTCGTCGGCGACGGCGCGCGTGGCCCGCTCGTAGATGCGCATGGCGTGGCGCGCGAGGCCGCGCTCCTCCTCGAGGTTGCCGTACATGAGATAGATGACCTTGGCGAATTTGGGTGGGCAATCCTCGACGGCTTGCTCAAAGAGATCGCGGAGGCGCTCGATACTGATCTTGCGGTCGACGGCTTTGGTGAGGTACAGGTTCCAGAGTTCGAAGGCCACGGGGTAGCTGAAGAGATCGAGACCGCGCTCGTAGATCTTGAACGACTCTTCAAAGTACTTGTGCTCCTCCAGCAGGTTGGCGTAGTTGACTACTGTTTGGGGAGTGGCGATGCGAAGCTCGAATATCCTCTCGTACACCTTGCGGGTCTCGTCCAGCGAGCTGACACTTTCCACGAGGTCGACGTAGAAACTCCACAGCTTCCAGCTCTTATGAACTCTTTGTTGTGGTGATAGGGTTTCGTCGAAATAGTCCACCGTGGACCTTTTGGGCGCCTGTACTGCCTTTGCCATGACTTTCATGGCCTCGTCGAAGCACTTGTTTCGAAGCTCCATCTCTGCCCACTCGATCCACATGTCTGCCAACTCTGCCACGGACTTGTAAGGAACCTTGACGGCCTTCTCCATGATTCTTCGGGCACTTGAAAGGTCTCCTCCGGCCTCGTAGAATTTGGCGTAATTGGTCCATAGCTGGTGAAGCGCACCCACTGCCTTCTTTGGTTGGATGGCTTCGATAGCATCAAGGTACGTCTTGACAACTTCCTCCTTGTTGTCGCCCCATAGAGCTACACGCTTCTCCCATTCCGTGACATTGTTCGGGTTCTGCCTGAGTAAGACATCATTCAAGAGGAAGGGCCGGCGGTCCATCAGATGCTCGAACCGCATCATTCGGATATCCAAATCGAAATCAGCCACCTCGTCTACCTCTCCCTTCTCAGCCCGGGTCGATGCCATCTCCATCAGAGCGCTAATGATGGACTCCTCAAACTCCGTGTACGAATCGAAGACGAGGGTGAAGTCGCGAACGGTCATGACGGTTGTGATACCCTCCTCGAAAACGTCTCGTGCGCGTTCAAAGCTGCCTCGTCGGATCCAATAGGTCGCCAAGCCGCACCACAGCTTGCCCCTCTGGTCGGCAAACCGCTCAATGCCACTGCGGATGATCCGTTCAACGTCGATTCCCGTCTCATGCCCCGTCTCCACCGCCGTCGCATGCTCGACCAACAAATCTACCATTTCGCTCCACAGTTCGTAGTGTCCCTTGCTGTTCTTGCTCGTAAACCGCGGGTTGTTGAGAATTTCAATGTACTTGTGCACGGCTTCCGTATATAGCCCCACTGCTACCAATAACTCGATGAAGTCCTCGGCATCCTCTGGGTGAACCTGCATGTACCTGCGCCAGATCTTGACCGCCGTCTCGCCTTCGGCCGAGTTGGCGAAGGGTCGATACAGAGCCCATATCCTGTTGTGTTGCGTAATGGGGAGAGCGCGAAGGGCCCGATCGAAGGTGCGTCGGGTGTGTGTCACGAGCGGCTGCTGCATCAGAAACTTGAGGTACATCTCCCATATCCTAGGCATCTTGTTGAGGAGAATGAGTGCCCGCTCAAAGAGGCTGTTGACCTTTTGGTACTCCGTGGCAAAGATCGCGGCATTGAGCTTCGAAACGTGCTTCGTCCTGAACCGGAGGTACTGGTGACCAAGTCAGCTGGCATGTTGGACTTTAGGGAAAGCTTCCAGTACTCACCATCTTCCAAAGCTTATAGGATCGAGGAAGCTGCACACAGGCGCGCTCCATGATATATGCCTGCTCCTGAACCGTCCCTTTCTGAAGCTTGTACTCGATATAGGCAAGCCATGGCTTCGTGCTGCCGGGGTTACGGACGATGTCTTGTTCGTAGGGAAAGTCCTCCTCGCTCTACCGGGACACAAGTCAGATCGTCAGTTTGTCTTTCTGCAGCAGAGACGACCGGACAAGAAGGGGAGCAACACATACGACCAAGGAGAGGTCTGGGCGACGGTCGGAGACGCGTGAAAGGATAGACATGGCGAAGGAGTGGTCCGCGTGGACTGCAGAAAGAAGACCGGGAGTGGCGTCACTGGAGGAAGGAGTAAAATCGATGTTCAAGGATCAAGAGATCCCTAGAGGCATTCCTGCCGTTTTCCCACGATTTTGGGCCAGCCTCTCGACAAGATGCGAAGAATGGGCGGACGACGACGGGGTTTCGTTTTCGCTGGCTGTTGTCGCTGTATTTTGTCCGTGATACTTTTTTTCCTGGGAGCCCGGCACGTCTTGAAGTTCAACCTTGTTCAGAAGTGGAAGTTCGCGAAAGCTCAGACCACCGTAGCCTTCCAGGGGCATTTACGGAGTTAGAGCGATCATTTGGCAGATGTCCCGCTAAACAAGAGCCAATTTCAGTGGGGTTAATTGCTGATAACCTCCCAGACCTTGGCAGCAGGATCCGCAGCAGGTGCCAGCCGCATCCCCGGGACGGAGGCCTGCTGCTCTGAGGTCCATGGTCCTGGATCCAGTTGTTACGTAGGTACCTCTAGGGCGGACTTGCAGTGGGCGGCGGCGGCGGCCGTCTCAACCTCACATCCAAGCTCCAACCTAACATCGAGCTCCACCAACCACGGCCCGTCCCTCCTCCAAGTCGATATCGAACCTAGAGTATCTGTGTCGTTGTCGCAATAGCATCACGACTCCTCGAACCATCATTTACTTCCCCCAGGACCTACCGTCGCCTTAGTCTTATACCCTACCTCGAGTATACCTTGGCCATTGCCGGATCGCAAACATGTCTGGAGCTGCGGTATGAGCCCATCCTAGCTGCTCCCCCGCAATTACCACAACCGGGTCCATGGCGTTGACTGACAATGAGTGGTGGTGATAGGATCGCGAGGCCGTCTTCCCCACACGGCAGTCCTTGGGTATTATGAAGGCCAAACTCAAGGGCGCCGAGACGGGTCACAGCTTGCTCAAGAGAAAAAGTGAAGCTCTCACCAAGTTCGTTGTTCCCCTCCCGGCCCATGTCCATCCATACACTTACACAGAGCTTGATACTAACATATTGGTTTTACTCAACAGGCGTTTCAGAGGTACTAGCCACTCTCGCACACACCCAGATATCCGCGAAATGTAGACACTCTAACACACCTGTCTCCTCACAGAGATTACCCGCCGAATCGACGAAGCCAAGCGCAAGATGGGCCGCGTCATGCAGATCGCTTCGCTCTCCCTCGCCGAAGTCACCTACGCCGTCGGCGGCAACATTGGATACCAGATCCAAGAGTCGGCCAAGTCGGCGCGATTCCGCATCCGGGCCAAGCAGGAGAACGTCTCGGGTGTGCTACTTCCCGCCTTCGAAGCCTACCAGGCCGAGGGCAACGACGACTTCGCCATGACCGGTCTGGGCAAGGGTGGTCAGCAGGTACAGCGGTGTCGTGAGACGTACGCCAGAGCGGTGGAGGCCTTGGTTGAGCTGGCTAGTCTGCAGACGGCGTTCGTTATCCTTGATGAGGTCATCAAGGTTGTCAACCGGAGAGTCAATGCGATGTAAGGCGAACCCAACCCGTCTTCCCTGCAAGATAGAATGGGGGACACTAACACGGAGTTTCTAGTGAGCACGTCATTATTCCTCGAACTGAAAACACCATCAAGTGTAAGTAGATGTAAACCCCAAGGTTCCGGCACTAGGGTAGATTACTGACAGCTATTATAGATATCAACTCGGAACTCGACGAGCTTGACAGAGAGGAGTTCTACAGACTCAAGAAGGTTGCTGCCAAGAAGCAACGAGACAATGCGGAAACTGACGCTCAGATGAAAGCAAAGAAGGCAGAGCAGCAGCGGCTAGCCCTTGCAGACTCTGAGAATGCTGAAGGTGAACAAACCGAAAATACCCCTGCCGATATCTTGGCAGCCGAGGAGGACGAAGACGTCATCTTCTAGTTTGATGTCAACTTGTTAACGTATTGCGAATCGCTGATGGCTGGACGGACTGTCGATGACGATCAAGAATGTTTTGTTTGCATGAATATTGTTGAGGCAAAGGGCATGGGCGCAATTAAGGAGTTTGTCTTGTTTTTATTCTTGTTGTAGCAATGGGTATCTGAAGAAGGCGCTTTGCGAACTGCCCGAGTGGTGCCCTCACGAAACGGAAAACTTCTAGCACACTCTGATAAACTGTGCAGTGCATGAAATCTGTATCGCACGATACTACTATTTCCTTTGTCGACTTTCCCCAGGCATGCATCCTTCAAAACATGCTCTACTGTCTCTGGTAGGTAACCTTCATGATCTTTTCGCCGTTCTTCAGGGCCATGCCCGCCGTGTTTTCCTTTGCGGTAATAGCACCAGCCTCGGCATCGTATTCGACGAAAGCGATACCACTGCGACCAGGCACAGTACGGACTTCGCGGAAGCCATCGAAGCGGGAAAAGATGGTAGTGAGGTCGTCCTTGGTGAAGTCGTCGGGTAGGTTCTGGACGAAGAGAATACGGTTGGGAGGCAGGTACTCGTCGGGTACAACAGCAGCAGGGCCCTGGCCCGTAGCCTTGAGGCCGGCACCGCGTTGGTTCTTGGCAGGGCGCGCATCGGGGGCGGCACCCTGGAGAGGACGCTTGAGGCGGTTTTGTTGTTCGGCGACTTCGAGGGCTCTCTTCTTGTCTGTAGCGGATGATTGTCAGATCGAATACTCTCGCTGCTAAGTGGGGGTCGGGGAGGCGAAGGGACCATACCCTTCTCAGCAATGCGCCTGCGCTTGTGCTGGTCAAACTCCTCCTCGTTGCCAGTCTGAATAACCGTAGCGTCGCTCCTCGTCCGCGCCAGGGCCACCACCATGGGCTTCTCAAACAGCTCGAAGCCCTGGAGTTCATCGATGGCAGCCTGAGCCGACTCGGGTTTGTCAAAGACCACAAAGGCCTGGCCCTTGGCCTTGAGGTTGGTCTTGGCGACGATATCAATCACATTGCCGTATTCGGAGAAGATGGTGCGCAGGGCCTCTTTGAGGGGCTCTGGCTTGACGCGCTCCTCGAGATTGCGTACATAGACTCTACACAAACCGCAAACATGGGTCGGTTAGCTTGATCGTATTCCGGGATTACCTCTTGACTAGAGAAAAACACCCGACACCAGCCAGTGCTTTGTATGTGTCGGAGTGCAATGACACATACGTAGCGATGGGGGCCTGTCCAGCTGAAGCCATTGTTGGTGGCTATCGACAGTTTAAAAATAGCGATTGGAACGGTACGAAGGATCTATCCGCGTGATCGTGAAGATCGTAAGATGCTCGTGCGCAAGAATAGGACTAGTAGGTACTGTAGGTGTCGTCGTCGGTTATCACCGAGCAATCTTGAAGTGTAATGATGTCCGAGTGCAAGTTCTTAGTGGAGTTGCTTTTTTTGGTGGAGAGTTGGGGGATCCGCAATTCAACAAGGGACTCTAGCGCAAGGAAGCGCTCAGGAGGCACCACCTGGGCTCAGCTGCGCTACGCAACGCTAGGACGGAGGCTAGGCACTGTACACTACACACGAATGTAACAAGCCTGTCTGGGGCGTGGGGCCCCACCAGTTACCTCATCCCGCTCGGCTTTCATTCCATGCAACTTAGGTTATCGCAAGGCCCGCCTGTTGCTCGCTGTTGATTGCTCCGATGCAGTGTCGGGTAGTCCATTCTCTCCGCTTTGCCCGCTGTCGCAGGGTGTGTCTCGTCCCGCGGCAACAGCGGTCCCGTCCTCTCCCCTCTTGTCTCTGGTTTCCCACTCAGTCTCCATGTTGTGGCCGTGTCAGCATCCTGAAATCCAGCTTCTACTATAATAAACAACTTTGGAACCCAACAGCTATCCATACGCGTAACAACCGTCTCGGTTTGCCGCCCCTTTCTGTCATGCGAAGATGCTGGACGTTTTCCTGAGCGAAACCACCAGATGAGAGACAAGGACTCACGCAACCAGGAAGAGACAGAAGTGAAGATAGGCGGTTAGCCAGTTGCCGACGCAGCCGGCGATCGCCACCCAGCTCATTACGCAGTAAAAGAGGAATTTGCGAGCCCGAACCTCAGCGTGATACATTCACCTTCCATTCCACAAGATCCCATTATGGACGATAGTGTTTTCCTGCCGGGTGCTGCAACGGCGGCGGCAGCCTTGGCCCCGACATCAGTACCCATCCCGGTGCTTAACAATGCCAGCGCATGGCACAACTTCACGCTCTGGACCGCCCAGCACCTGGGCTATGCGTTCAACGTGACGAAACTGGCGCCTTCGCTCGAGGATTTGGTCTGGGCGGGACCCAGGATGGTGAAGAAGCTGGGGAAGCTGGGCGGCTCCTACATCTTTTACCCCGATGCCATTGACGGCTTTGGCCAGCGCGTCATAGCCGAGTCGACCGATCCAGCCGCTTTCTTTGTCACGACTACTCCCGACAGCACCACCGCCGCCGACGCCGCTCGAGCCATACTCGAATCCGCATCATCTTCGGCCGCGGCCACTGCTACGGGCCAAGAGTCAGCCGCCTTCGCATCACGATTTACAATGGAGGGCGCAAGAGGTTTAGGGAGCGTCTTTAGCTACGCAACAAGCAAGTGGGCTCTAGCATGCATTGTCATGGCTGTTGTCTTCAACCGAACACACATATTCGCCGCTACTCGCCGCCGACTTGCACTACGCTGGACTGTTCGGCTTGCGCTCCGGCTGCCTGTTATCTTGGTCCTCGCTTGGCAGGTCGAACGAATCCTTGAATCGATACAGTGTCAAACGTCTCCCGACTTCGCCAATCTGCGCTGGGGCAACGCCAGCAAGAGCTCCGACCTCATGTTCTCCGAAAAGAATAACTTTCTCCACGGCTTGAGCTCGACCCTGCTCTTCGGCGCAACCGATAAACAATCCTGCCAGGCTATAAGGATGGTGCCATGGGACAACAATTCAAACGAGCAGCCGGAGTTAGTAGGATCCTTGTCCCGGCTCTGGCCCCTGTTCATGACATTCTGTGTTAGTCAGTTTATCGAGGTTCTTTCTGCGACGGTTCAAGGCCGTCCAGTAGCCGCGGAGACGGGGATGACGCTTTTCGAGCACTCATTGGCCTTTGCCGAAGCTGATGCTGCCATCAGCAACCAGTTGGGCTGGGGCCTCTTTACGGGCAAGGGCAATTCTTCCCAGGCATTAACAGGATCTGCCGTTGCCGTGACGCGCAGCATGATTCTAAGGAGAGTCAACACGTCTCCAGAAGTTCTGCTGGTTGCGTTTCTCTCTGCCATGAGCCATCTCACTAGCCAAATACTTGGTGTCTTCAACCTACAGTCTAAATTCCGCTTGATCAACACTGGTTTCTGGGGACTCTGCTTTATGGGCAGCATTGTCTGGGGCGCCGTGACTTTTTCCATTGAAGATAGCTCAGCTCAAGCACTCTTGAGATTTCCTACGGTCTGCATTATTGGATTTGTACCGCACGTTCTTATCATATGCGGCATCTTTATCTGTTCTGTAATTTACGCTCTAACGATGGCGCTCTCAGCCTTCGCTGTTACTGAAGGCGCTCTCGATGCTGGACAACAACGCCCAACTCTCCGAGACCGCCTTGCTCGAGCCCACGCAAACATGCAAGCCAATGGATCTCTTTCCGACATCCGTATCCGGTGGGATATGGACTTCTATACTGCTCTCCTTCGAGCTGGCTTTGGGGCCATCACTATGGCTAGTGAGGCCGTCTACCTGAACGAAGACCATCGGGTGAATGTGAAACGCTATACCTGGTTGGAGGACGAACGGTTCCGCGAGATCGAGGAGTTGAGGATGCAATGGCTTGGAGGCGGAGTATCAGGTTCTCGTTTCGACTCCGTCGGTGTTATCGGCCTCGTACCTGTCAAGGAAGATCAAGCAAATGCCACGAGCGGTTACGCGAGGGAACGGGCAGCTCAAAAGATACCCCGGAACAGCGTTTCCGCCAGGCGACTGAGAGACGGGGTGGGCGCTAGTGAACGCAGTGGTAGGTGGCTGTTGGCGATCGAGTATGTTATGCACATCAGCCGCCTGATCATCACAACTTCGATGCTCGTCATCATCAAGTTACTCTCTTACTTTGGGATTCGGAACCCGCCACGTTGGCTCCGGGCATTGGCCCTTCAACCACCAAAGCCGGAGACTACCACCACTGGCAGGAGGTCAGGGCGGAGAGGTGATCGCGGCACAACAGCCATCTGGGTAGACGCATCAGATCCCAACTCTTTCCCTGTTCCGCGCAGTGAGCGTGTAGACGTGGAAGCCGAGTTCCGTCGGCGCCTCCAACAACCCCTCGGCAGTGAGCAACCCGACGCCAGCGAAGCCGACATCGACTCCAAGCTCTATAGCTGGTTTCTCAACGGCGGCTGGTGGGGAAACACTGATACAAGCGGTGACTACGTTCCCCCTGACGGCGGTTCCGGCCTGGACGACCCTGACTTTGACACCACAAGCATCATCTCCACAACCGAAAGCACATCACTATCAGACCTAGACGCCTGGGAGTCCGACAGCGACAACAACCATCTCCAAGACGGCCAACGAACACCCACTCAATCGTCCCCTTACCCAAACAACAACAGTGACCAAAACCCGCTCCAACAATCCTGGGCCTTCTCCCGGGAATCCACTCCCTCGCAAGTAGCAGACCTCCCCTTAGCAGCCTCCGACCTCGCCCGCCTCCTCAACCCGCAGAGCCCAGAAGAGCGCGACGAAGCCATCACCCTCGCCGCCCACTTGTCCTTTGAAGAAGGGATCATGACCCGGTCCCGCTTCCGCCAGCACCAAGCGCGCCAGCGCGTCAAGGTACTACTTTCTGGCGCCCAACACCGTAGTCTTTACGGATATGGAAGGGGGCAAAGCACACAAATGATGACGCCCGAGGAAGAGGCTAGACGGTTGGAACAGATATTGTTGTCGAGGCGGGCGACTGCTGCGCCCACGGAGGCAGGGGATGAGGGCAGCGGAAGTGGAAATGGAAGTAATGGGGCGGCGGCAACGGCAGGCGACTGGGCAACGGGCGCGGATGGACTGGGTAGTGAAGGACCGCAGTGCGTGGTCTGTCAGTGCGCGCCGAGGACGATCATCGTGTGGCCATGTCGGTGTCTGAGTCTCTGTGATGAGTGCAGGGTTAGTTTGGCCATGAATAATTTTGATAAGTGCGTGTGTTGTCGCAGGGAGGTTATTAGTTTTAGTAGGATTTATGTTCCTTGATACTTTGGGTTATGGACTTTATTGGGACGAGGAAGATATTTTTCGTATTTCTAAATGGCTTTATACTACACACCTAGTCTAGTTGGTAATGATGAAGGAAATGAGAGGCATGTCTTAAGGAGAAAGCATCATGAGATGGAAGTTGCGTGTCAAACAGCATGATGGATGGTCATTGAGGTTAATCACGGTGCGAGGCATGCACAGGGACAATTGGGAAGCGATTGAAAGGGTGTGTTTTGATGGGATCCTGATTTAATCTTGGTTGCCTTGGGGTGGATTGTTCCCATGGATTTCCCATGGGATCTCGACGGACTACATATACGCAACAATATATTCATCGTTCAACAGGCTTAGATCCGATGCGATTTCACATAGACAGAATGTGAAGGCTTGTTGTAATGGGTATCATCTCTTCCGTCAAATGCTCAAGCTGCCTGAAACTACATGCCCGCCCATTCAATGCAGAACGCCCTCAACTCGCCAGCTTCACTGTTCTCTGTCGCCGGTTTCTGCCCTCCCATGAGGAAACTCTTCTTGACAGCCGTTCCCAAACGACCACTGGTGACGAGATCCAACATGGGGATCTTCTCATCCCACCCATAGCTGTTCGCCATATAATGAGCATGATAGCGGAAGGGGTCGCCGGGGTAGACACTGAAGTCACCACCGAAGCGCAAACCTGGAGTGATGAAATATCCTCTCTCGTTCAGGTACGAATACAATGGTAGCGCAGTGTGGTTTTCTACATCAGGATTACTTGTCCCGTTAGAAATCATGGCATTGCTGGTGGTTGGAGTGATTGCAGGTAGTTTCTCCTTGACCAGCGGCTTCTGAGGCGGCGTCGACGAGTCCGTCTTGACTGGCTTGGATGATGACGACTCCAAGAGGGATTCTGCTCCTCCTTCTTCTTCCTGATCTACGGCGGCCGCGACGTCATCGGCAGATGATGCTGACAGCGGCAGTTCAGTGGGTACGACAACAGGGGGCTGTGGCTGTTTCGGCTTGCGCTTGTCCTTGTGCTTAGCCATAGACTGTGCCTTGGCCTCATTGAACACAAGCTGGGCAGTTCTGCGCTGCGTCTTGATAGACTGCAGGTACGATTTGCGCGTCTCGTCATCCATTGACTTCAACTGGGTCAAGTGTTCTAAAGGGTCATCGGCAATGTAGGCAACCTTTCTGTCCAAAAGCATCTTGGCATCCTCGGCATACAGCTCGAGCGGCAATCCTAGGAAGACATTCTGAGTGGGATTCTGCGGCATGGTGCCCGTGAAAACAGCGCAGATGCCATGCTGGCGGCGGATATACGCCACGTCATCAATATCAAAGACGAGGTACCGACCAGCGATCTTGGAGATCCGTACTTGTCTGTCGTCCTCGGTTGATGCCATTGCGAGTGTGTGAAAGCAATGAAGTGCCTAATTTTCTCTCGGTTAGAAACTGTTCGTAAACCGAGCTCGCGTGTGTGAACAGGAGAGATAGATTGGCCAAAGGATCAGAAGCCTTGGACAGCCGTATTTATCATCACTATGAATCAGGGGATTGACAGATTGATACGTTTGTTGTTTCATCATAAAAGACCAACTGGGAAGTGTGCAAAAAGAGCTGTTTTGACTTACCAAAAATGCTGTTGTTGGACACGACGACACGAGGAGAGAAAGTGGGAAACTTCTGGGCGGAGGGAGGTGCGTGGGCTTTTATCGCGCCGTGGCAGAAAACGGCGGAAATTTGGGCGGTGAGTCCACGACCCCACACATTTTTCTTGAGCTCCACCCCAGGTGTTGCTGTACGCCCGTAGGTAGCTTCAGGCGGGCGTCCACCAATGGTTTCAGTGGCTCGAGTGGACTTACAGCATGCCCAATACCTGGGCAAGTAAAGAGACGGAGTTTCAATGATGATCAAGAAGCTCACCTGAACATATGATGAGACTGCCAAAAGGGGGCCAAACAAAGTCGGTTATTTGCAAAAACAAGCCGTTAAATTGCCAAGCCATAAGTGACTTTAGAAATCGAGCCCATCCTTCTTTGGAGCAGCTGAGGGCTTCTCCTGCTCATCCTCGAGCATAGGCGGGAGACTGTACGGTTTGATCACCAAGCCCTTGGATGCGCTCAAGCTGAATGACAGGTTCTCACGGAATTGGCCCGACTCTGCTCCTCCACCACCCTTCTCATGATACACAGGCAGTGTGTATACTTTGAACATACCCTGGGGTTGCTCGTTTGCCTTGGGATCCGACCCTGAGGGCGGCGGTGGCGCGGCACCTAGCCTGGCAGGTAAGGGGATGAGCTCGACGACGCCGTCACAAAGAATCTCTATCCACCGGACCAGGCCTGAACTGCGAGGGAATAAGGACGTCGGGAAGGTAATGATTGCTGTGAGCTGGGTGCTGTACAGTCGAAGGAGAGCCCGGAGCCCATGTAGAAACTGTAGAACCTCTGATGGTTGGGCGCATCCAGGAGGATAGAGGGTTGGTGAGAGGAGACTGGGCACCACCAGTCTATGAATGGCGTTTGATCCTGAGCTCTCCAACTTGGCCCGCAATTGCTTGAGAATCATCTTCAGAGGAGAAGCTGTCCCAACACTTTTCCGGTCTAGGCTCGGGGCACCGCCAACTGAAATCGGGTTCAAAGTACCCTTGGACTCGGAGCTTGCAAGCCTCTTGCTGAGATCGAAGGAGTGACAGAAAGGCGCTCCAGAATCCCCACGAGTAGAAGCTCCTGCATTGGCGTTGTTACCCAAAGACTCATATCTCCACGCAATCTTCATCTTCTCTTCGGGTGCTAGCGCCGGTGATGCACTCTTTGACTTCTTGTCAGGTGAAGCCAACCCTGGGAGCTGATGCCTCCATTCGGGCGGGAAGGCTACTGCGTGAACCTGATGCCCTTGGACGAGACCCTCGGCAGCATAGTACCGTAGAAGAATTCCAGAAAAGTCGGTGGTCCCTTGCTCCTCAACCAGTAAGCATGTTCCCAAGGGGAGTCCACCGTGTCCTGCAAGAAGTTGGTCCAGGGAAGCAGTGCCAGTTGAAGTGGTCAACCTGCCATCGGTTGGTGATGGTCGAAGACCCGGCGCAAGCTGCGTTTCCTGTTTGGGTTGTTGCTGCTGGGGAGCGGACGGCGAGAGTCCGGCTCTTGGTGAGGATAGGACGGTGTTTCTTTTGACGAAGGACATGGTTCAGTCGGTAAGTTGCAGTCCTTCTTTAGATATCGAATCCTTAGATCGAATTCAAACTTGATGTTGAGGTATTCTTCAAGTCCAGATATAGTCAATTTGATCCCTGAAGAAATTCCATGGAAGCTTGGACGTCACTGGAGTGCCCGAGAGCCCCGCCGTACTTTTGTCACACACTGGACCGACGGGCGTGACAGGGATGCTCGATGGTGGTTGCCCCACTACTTGCCCCGGCATCCTGGTCCAATTGCCGCAAGGCTGGAATTTTTTGGGACGGCAACTGCATGGCGGCATCTCCATCGCTCAGTCGCATCTCCAAAAGTTTCCCCAAACACCATCATTACCGCTCGCGACAATTCGTTTTACCCACCAATCGGCACGCGTTTGATACTCGACCAAAATCTGACACTAGTATCCCTCCGAGCGATCAATATCCAACATCCACTGTTTCATCGAATCCACACCAGCATTCACAATGTCCGCCCTCACATCCGACGCCCAACTCTTCGAGGATGAGTTCAAAGTCGAGAGGATCAGCGATCCCAAGTACGACCGCGTCGACCGTCTGTACTGCACCTCCGTCGATGGCCAGACCAGCATGCAGCTCGATGTCAACAAGGAGCTCTTCCCTGTCAAGGTCGGCGAGTACCTTAGAATTGCATTGGCCACTTCCTTGTCCCTCGACGGCAGCAAGGACGACGAGAGGGGTTGGCGCGATGCTGCCAAGCTCGGCAGCGTTGAGCAGACCCTGGCCGACAGCTATGAGTATGTCTGCCACGGCAAGGTCTACAAGTTCGAGGATGGAAAGGATGGCCAGACCATGTAAGTTGTTGCCTGGGAATTGGGCAGGAGTATCTCGACCTTGGAATTCGGGGAAAAAGAGTTGCTGACTGGTTCCCTTGCAAAATCTAGCAAGGCGTATATGTCCTACGGTGGTCTTCTGATGGCCCTCGACGGCCCCTACAAGAAGCTCACGCCCCTGCGTGTCGACTACGTCTACCTCCTCGCCAACAGGAACGCTTGAGAGCTGAAACTTCCGGAGAATAAAAATGGAAAAAAGCAAATGTTTCCAGCGGCTGAATAACATTAGACCGATCAAGAGTCTAGGGCGCGAGCAACATTCATTGGACCTTTGGAGGGCGAACGGGCGTTTAAGGTTATGCGTGGACCAGAAAAGGCATATCCTAGGGAAAAGGGGTCTGGGGAAAGTAATGAATCAAACGATACCCGGAAGCAAGTACCTGTATTTATGTCGCTACCGAGCCAAGGGATGTCCATCTACCTTTGAGAGAGCTAGTGCTCTGCGGAAGGTGCTCGATGGATTCGGGCCTGATGAGGACCGGGAAAGGCGATATGTCGATGAGCCCGGTCGCGAAATGCGTCGTAATGCGGCTCGTTGTCAGGCGTGTAAATGCCGTGCCGAACGAAGAAATCGAGCATGACGACTGCACAGTTCGGCTTCCACATTCCCTGGGCGAGCTGTTCCTGGATCTCCTCCACTGTGCACAAGCTGAAGCTCTCGACCTCGCCGTCCTTTGGCTCGGGGACGACACTTCCATCCGCAGGTAGCTCTAGATCATAAATCCATTGGCATTCCGGGTAGATCAGCCCCGCCTCGCCTCCCGCGCGCTCGTCCGTGATGTAGATATAAGTGATGGTGCAGACCTCTTTGGCGTTGTTCCTCACGATATGCTCGGACAGTGAAGCCTCTTCGTCCGCCTCACGGATGACACATTCGAAGGGGTCTTCATTGGTCATCAAGCCGCCCGCTACCGCGTTGTCCAACATGCTCGGATAGGTCGACTTGGTGGCGGACCGCCTGGGAACCCAGATTCTCAAGTCATACTTGCTGCTGGCGTCCTGATGTCTGATGAAGGCGTTCATATGCACGCCGTAACGTGTGGTTCCAAAGAGGCCCATGGCTGCCCGCTCTATGCTGAACACGAGCTCCTTGCTGCGACCATAAACTGGCCACAGCTCGTTTCGCCAGCTCTTGAGGATGGCAAATGCTTCTTGTTCACGCCAAAGCGCAGTGAGCTCTCCGACAAGCCGAGTGCGTTCCTCGTAGGTTTTGTCCGGGGCATCACGGAAGAGCACCACAGTCCTATTAGAGACATCGATGTGCAACCCTAACTGCCCTTTGAGAGTTGCCGGGGCTTTGTTGAGTGCATCGACAATGTCCAACTTCACGTAGCCTATGGGTACCTGGCCCTGTTGGTCTTCCCAGACGAACGTGTAGAAAGACTTCATGATCTGGGCGTAAGCCTCGGGATCCCGGTCCGCGTAAGGGAAGCTTGATTTTTAGAGAAAACGTAAGCGCTCGTTCTGGTCATGTTCGGGAATCCGTTTCACTGATTTCCGTCTATGTTCCCGGCCGTGGTCACAGAGGATTCGGTTTCACAGAAAAAAGAAGAACAAAAAAATACGTACGCATCGACCTTAGCCACCAAGTCGAGGGTGGACAACCGAGAAGTCATGGTTAGGCAGCGGGTTCGCGAGACCTAGGATGATAGGGCGAGGACACACGGGATCGAGTGATGCGAATGAAGTCGAAAGTCTGGATGCCTGATGGGGAAGGTCCTGAAAGTTGACTTGAGCTTGAGAGGCACAAGAGAGAGGATGTTGTCAAGGGAAGAGAGCGTGGGGAAGCAGATATTGGCGTGCGCTAATCTCCTGTCGTTCGGGAGCGCAATTGAAGACCGTCGGGAATTGGGAGGGGAGGAACATGAAGCATCTCGAATTAGAGAGACAGCATCAACCGGGCAATTCTTCACTTTCAATATATTTGGATCAATGGAACGAATTCGTGTTTGAGGTTACAAGCGCAAGTGAATTGATCTCATATCGTCTTTCCTTCAGATAGTTCAAATGATGAGACTCGGAACAGAACTTATGGAAGGATCGAAATCCAAGAAGCCCGCCCCGTCGAGCGTTGAGGCGCTTTGTAGCGGGGAAAGAGCAGGTTTACCACAGGGGGTCACAATAGGGTAACGAACAATCCTCATTGAAAGTGGAAGTTACCTACAAACAAGGACTTGGCCTTTCCATCCACGTCATTGGCTCCCAAAATGGAGATTGCATCGAGGAAATGGCCGGGAGGGTCTCTCTAGTACTGAAGCTTCAATTTTTTGCAAGTCGAGGACTCTAGAATCATCTCCATGTTGGTTCCAAGACCCAGTGATTTTCTGAACTGCCCGGCTGCCCTGCCGTCACAAGGAAGCATCCGAGACGGTAGACCCACAGTAGCTTGATATCTCGCCATCACATCATCAGCTTCAATGAGAGTGTAGAAACAAATATATACCAGACGACTCTTCAGGGGAAAATATGAAGTATAATTGACTGCTATCCTTTCCAATGAAAAAAACCGTGAAATCATCTTTCCCCCTCTATAGCCAGCGATGGTTGTGCGCAAAGAATACCTACCTTGCTGCCAGCTCATTGTTTGACCCCACATATTACGGCATTATAAACGCTTCGGCCGCTCCACGTCCGGACAACAACTGAGATTCGAGGACAAAGCGGCATCTTCGAGGAAACAACAAAGGGAATCGGTCATTCACCCCGAGTCCAGGTCTTTGTTTACATAAAGTTGACATTGACAACTTCACACGCTACGACCGCGAGTTCGAATTTGTGGTCTTTTGTCTTCCAAAACCGAAGCTCACCCCCACGATCTTGCGAACACAACTGTACATCTTGAAGGACCTCAGCCATAGATATCCTATCTCATCCGTTCGATATATCTATCGGAGGCAAAAACCAGCACAAGCTCCAACCAGAACGGGATACCGAATCAACTCCCCATACCGACAGCCGTGAGCTCTGTCAATTTCATCATCAACAACCACACCCGAGCAGTGCCCAACAGCGACAGGCGATCAACACCGCCACCAAACCCATTCTCTTATCACACCACATTATCACCAAACCACAAATCCAACGAAAATGTCCCAACCCCTCTTCGGCCTCATTCCCGCCGGTCAGCCCGTAATAATCTCCCCCACCGAAGCTCCCAGTCCCACCTCCTTCCTGTACGCCATCCCACCGACCAACCCGAACTCTCCCCCCGGTTCCGCCATCTCCAAGCCCTTCGGGCACGTCGTCGTCTTTCTTTTGCCTGGTGTAGTCCTCCCCCCGGGGACCGCAGCAGCAATTTACCTCGTCACTCCGCCGTCACCAGCCCTGGGGCAGACGGCGCCCAACTTCAAGTTTTTGGGTGGGATCGGGCCGGGGAAGGAGAGTGCTATCTTCAAGGTTGGACCTGGTGCAGGAGGGACAGGGGGTGGGAACGAGAATGTGGTGATTGGGGTTTCGGTTGAGGATGCGGAGAGTGTGGCCAGTAGGATGACTGCGACGGGGACAACAACACCAGCAGCAGCACCAACAAGTGGTAATGGAACAGAAGGGGCGTTGGTGCCGGTTTCGGCAGCGCGGCAGCAGCCGAGCACGCTGGTGCTGGCGCAGAGGATCATCAAGAATGCCTTCAACTTTTTGTCGAGCTATACCGGGTCCACGCCGGGGCAGATGGAGGTGGTGCCGCTTAAGGCGTTTGAGGAGTGGTGGAAGAAGTTTGAGAGTAAGGTGAGGACGGACCCGGGGTTTTTGGAGAGGGATGATGATCAATGATCAGTGAGCATATGGAGACACGGGAATGGTTATATAGAAGAAGACGTTCCACATATGCGTGACGAAGGCTGAATCTGTGGGAGAGGCTCCCGGAACGGCATAGTTGGAAGAAAGCCTTCTTTTCACCTGGCGGATGTGTACCTGGTCTTGGGCTTTGGGGACACGAGGGGGGTTTCGTTGAAAGTGGTGAAATTGTAGATGGCGAGACCATGAACTTGTCATATTGAGGATGAGGTCAGGCCAGCGCCATGTTTGTGTATCAGCTGGATCGTTCAGGACGCAAATATACCCAGTTAGAACAAAGGACAAGCAGATATGGCCAAGAGACGCTGGAAGAATTTGCGAATGAAAATGAGGTATCTTGTTCCAAAATTTTGTGATAAAGCCGTACTAGCTAGCTGTTGGCAATGAAGAAGAATGAAGAATAGAAATATACTGAAAGCCCGTCGCTCAGATGGGTTTGAAGACCACCCGTATCGTTGTCATCATACAAAAATCGTTGGACGACATGGCCGTTAACCTCCTAGAAGAACAATTATCCATCGTCAAGAAAGTACCATATACAGAGGTAAAAGAGGTAAAAGAGGTAAAAGGTAGAAATGCAAAGCCCATAAAACATCCACCAACGCCGTTTCCCATGACAAATCGTTCAATCAACCACGAAGCGACTGGTTGTCTTTTCGTAACAAAACTTTAAGGCACGTGGGCCTCGACGCCTTAACCTTGCAAAGGCGACATCAAAGGACTTTTCAGCCTCGTGGGACTACCAGCCCGGCTCCTCCTCCCCTGCAAACTCATAGTCGTCGTTGTAGGCGTCAACCCCAGCCGCTCTCGACTATCCGTCCTGACCACTAAACCCGCCCTATCGAGCGCCGAGCCGCCAGGCGTCATTAGTCCGTTGCCGCAGCCGAGATCAGCAAACCGGCCATCCAGGTTCAGCTTGGGCGTTGCCAGCCCTGACGTAATCCCAAGCTTAGACCGTCCCCCTCCGCTGGAGCTGCTGTCGCTGGAATCAGAGTAGAAGCCGTTGAGGTCGTTGTTGTGGTCAAAGTAGGAAGATGCTGAGTTGCGGAAGTGGGAGTCGTTTAGCTCGAACTCGGCGGCTTCGCCTTCCTCCAGAACGCGCTCATAGGAGCCCGAAGAAAGGGAGCGACGGCCGAAGAGCTTGTTTGTCAGGCTGGAGAGGGTGCCGTTGTTGTGGCCGGATGATGACATCTTGCCGAACAGGCCGGAACGGCGGGGCTTATGGAAGAGGTTGTTGACACGGCCATAGAACCGCATACGCCTATCCTTCTTGCGGAAAAAGAACAGCAGCGCGAGGAAGATGAAGAAAAAGATGAGAAGACTGTGAGTGGTCTTGGCCTTTGTCTTGCCAAGGAGATTCTCGGCTTCCAAATCCCAGTCACTGCCATCGTCTGTGGTCCCATTGACGGCCGGACGGTAGGGGGAGTCGTTGTGGCTGGCTCCGCCGCTGAGTGGTGTCCACGTCGAACCTGCGTACTGGAAATCAGGCGGTAGCTCCGTTGCCCCGGCAGAAGGAATATTAGTACCGAAACCGACAGGAAATCGATCGTCACCTGTCTTGGGAGGTACTTGGCCTGCTGCATAGAGAACCATCTTGCCAAGTGTCCAGCTAACTTCAATGCCATCGATCTTGTCCACCGGATGAAACGGGTCTAGGAAACCCTTCTGTTTGGCCGTCTCGATAGCGCCCTTCGAGGCGTTGAGGCCCGGAGCGGGAAGTTCTTCGACACCAATTCGAGGAACACCAATACCCTCATGCAGGATGTTTATAAGCCAGGAAGCTTTGAAACAAGCTTCTTGAGCATCCTTGACCGCAAACTTCTTGTGGGCATCCAGGCTTGGTTCGATGCTGTTCCAGTCTCGGCCGCAAAAATCCTTGACCCGCTTTTGGTAAGTAGTGAAGTCGTATGCCTCATTTTCCTTACCACCAAAGACACCGTGTGTGGTGTGCCAATATTCGGAGACTCCAACGAAGTGATTGACATCAAAGTCAATGGCTGGAACGTGCTGGCCATTGATCAAACAAGGGTCATCCGCACATGGTTTGTCCTTGCCAAGCAGGGGATAAGTCTTCCTAAGGCATTCGTCAAAAGCGCCTGAACCAATTAGAGTGGTCTCGCCCTTCTTCGGTTTCGAAACTGGAGTCCCATCCAGTGACAACCTGAGCCCCTTTGGTAGACACGGATCGGGGAGTTCTCCGGCATCGGAAGTGGTGTACAAGTCTGAGAGGCTTTGTACATACGCCTCCCGCGCCCGGTTGACGCCGAACCCTAGCCATGTCGTCGTAAACACTTTGTAGTCAACTGGCGATCCATCGAGTGTGCGTAATCGTAAGAGCTTCAAGTCGTTCGCATGTTTTTGGGCTTCTGTTGAATTAGGTGCAAATGCGATTTGCGCTGATGCGCCTCCCATGTCCAAGAACCCATATGTGTGATGACCCTGTCCATGCGCATGTTGCTCTGGATGATCGAAACCCCCAAGAAGATAGTTAGACGCAATCCACCCGTACAATCCCTCGGTTTCGCCCGGAATAACCTGAATATGTAGGTCGCAATCCGGAAGTGAGAATTTCGTATTCTTGCGCAGGTATGTGCAGACAGCGCCGGTTATGGCATTTTGTTGGACCTGGGGAAGAAGTCGCATGCCAGCCGTGGCCATTAAGAAAATAGGGGTGTCGTGGATCTTGTCCGCGGGTATGATGTCGAGCGCATGGTCGATGAGTTCCTTCAGATAATCTTCGCCGACTACCCCAGCCTTCTCCCCGAATGTCGATATTCCAGGTCTAATCTTCTTTGTCCACTTCTTTTTCGTCGTGATCTTGGGCAGACTGCGCAACTCCTCGGGCGACGCATCTTCAAGCGCCTTCTCGGGATCCTTCCAACGATATATGTGTAGTCGTGTCCCCGAGGACCCGGCGTCCAAGATAACACCCCATCGCCCTGTCATTGCTTCAGTGTCGCGATCTTAGAAGACCTGAGGGGGTTGCGGGTGGACGTACAGTTCTTGTCTTTCCCCATCGAGAAGAGATTAGAAGTAGTCGATAAAGCAGATAATAACGAATGCGAAATCAGGTCGGACAAGGCACAGTTGTCTCGGTCCCGCGGAGCTTGCTCAAGTTGTCGTCGGTAATAGCGTAATAGGGGAATTAATGTTGTATGGACGACCGCATCGGAATTATGGCATCAACAACCTGGAACTGTTGCAGAATCGCAGTGGAGACGGAACGAATTGATCGACGGTACAAGCAAGGCTAGAAGGAGGAATTACCGGCCGCAAAGCGAATGGACAAAACACTGTGGAGGAATTAAAAGTGTACAGTATGGTATGTAGGTAGGCAGCCGGGACCGTCGGAAGAAACGAGAGTAGGGTGGTCTTGGGAAAAGTGAAATGACCAGGTGCGAAGCGAGAGAAAACTCGCCCGGGAGCTGGGTGAGGTGAGATTTTGGAGGATGACGGGAAAGATTGGATTGTCGTTTTACAATTCCTGAGTGGTCGTGGGCCGAACTGGGAATGTCTGTGGTTTTTTGGAGGGACCCGTTGGGGGGGGGGGGGGGCCGAGATAAGGAGAAGTTCAG